AGTTCTGCCAGTTTGCATGTGACGTGTCACAAGTTTGGGGATGGTGCACATGAAGCAGCCCATGATCCTGGCAACGTGCTCCTGCGTCGCTCCCATTTGCAACACGCCGATCGCTCTCTCCCTCTGCTTTGCGGTTAGTCGAGGCATGTTCTTTGTTTTAATCGGCTACTTGTGACGAGAGAGTACAATCCTGCTCATGTTTTATACTGGAATTTCATACGGGTAACTTTATTTACATTTTGCATGTTTTAGTGATTATATTCACTTTTCTCGCAAATCACGTGAAGCACGTGCACATGTTGACAGGGAATAGCAAGTTGCATTCCAGCTGTGTGTCCCCCGCTGTATTCCTGCTGTTTGGCAAATTTGTTGAAAACTGACGACAATTATTTATTTGGTGGCGTTTCATTTGCCTGCTAGTTCATTTACATAATTTATAAACATAAAGCAATATAAAGTTAGAAATTAAATAATGGAAATAAAGCCTTACCTTTTGCAAAGTTGGCACACTGACGTCACACACCAAAAGTATTATTAAAAATTAATTAAGTATCACAGCTTGGCCTGTCCGTCCTTTGTGACGGTTTTATACTTGCCAAAGTCTGCTTTTAAATTCTTATTCGTAGAAAGCATCTTTTATATGGATAACGTTTTACTATATCATCTTTATATCATTTATGTATAAATTCCATGATAATTTGTCTCTCATAATCCTATTGAATGGTTCTGTACATTCTATCTACGCCAAGTTGTACAAAGCTGTTTTATATGGAATACTGTAAGGGACATTCTCGCGATCTCGCATTCTCGCGATCTCGACCTTTGGAAACGAGCTAAATATGCCCCAAACACGAGAACGCGATATTTTGGCGATCTCGCATTCTCGTGTTTTGGGCATATTTAGCTCGTTTCAAAAGGTCGAGATCGCGAGAATGCGAAATCGCCAGAATGTCCCTTACAGTATTCCATAGTTTTATATGTGTACAGAAGTGAGACACTAATAAACTATTGTCTGTCTGTTTGTCTGTCTGCCTGTCTGTGTCCGTCATTTGTAACTAAGGATTGCTGACTGACCCCTCAAGCGACATGCCACCTGTCATCCCTGTTAAGGCTCAGCTTCATATAGACAGATAATCAGGTAAAGTCAATTATTCACATCCATTCAAATTAAATTGTATCATATGCATTATTTATATTGTCCCATCAGAATGTAGTACATACTTCTGTAAATGCATTCACTATCATGTATAAAACTGACAGTGTACACTACAGTATATACACGGCCGGGCTGGAGGTCGACTCCCGGGACTCGGGACCCACGGGCACACTCTTGGTCGGGGGCGGTCGGGTAGCCTTGTGGTTAAAGCGTTCGCTCGTCACGCCGAAGACCCGGGTTCGATTCCCGACATGGGTACAATGTGTGAAGCCCATTTCTGGTGTCCCCCGCCGTAATATTGCTGGAATATTGCTAAAAGCGGCGTAAAACCACGCTCACTCACTCACACTCTTCGTCGTCGCGTACCACTCTCCGAGTAATAAAGACACGAGGTACAGAAAGGTGAGGTGAGGTGAAATTGGGTTTAACGTCGCGTCCAAGATTATTCCACTTATATAGCGACGTGCATGCACGTGTATGTGTGTGTGTGGCTGCTTGTACTAGTCTGGACTGATGCCGATTTATAGTGCTAGCTCACTGAGATACCATGCCGCAGTTTAACATGAATACCCCACTCAGACACAGTATACTGACTCCGAGCCGACCAGTCCTTGTTTTAGCCCCTTAATGCCGAGCGCCAGACAGGATAACAACAAGTACAATCTTTTAACGTCTTTTTGTATGACGCGGCCCGGGATCGAACCCCCGACCTTCCGCTCTCCGGGCGGACGCTCTACCACAAGACCACGGAGGCGGTCTAGGTACAGAAAGACTTGATACTTATGTCTAATATGCGATCCCCTATCGCCAGTTAGGAGGTGATAGTTACCTCATACTTATGTTTGACGATCCCTAAACGATAAGTTAGATTTGGACTGTGACGCACCAAGACGTAACAATCACCTTTTAACAATCTCTTGCGGAGGGTCATAAAAAATAATACACATATTTGAGGAGGGTCGTGTTAAAATGGACATTTTATAATAAAATAAAAGTACTTTTATATTTAGTCTTTCCGGGGAGGTTTACGAAACATGTACAAGGACATGACTTCCCAAAATGCACCGTGATATCAAATACGTGCATGTATGTAAGGTCACGTGTGTATAGAAATCTGATACCTTGATACTTATCATTCGTAAGCTAAAAGGCCACAGTGGTATTCCATTAACATAGTGAGTGAGTGAGTGAGTAAGTTGGGTTTAACGCCGCTTTTAACATTATTCCAGTTATATCACGGCGTGTCAGCTTAATGTGGAAACATAACCGGGGCGAACCGGGATTCGAACCCACAATCATAGGTTTCTGGCGTGTCCAGGGGACGCAACTCTGCACAGCGAATCGCGGCGCCTTAGATGACTGGGCCACCCGTGTATGTCTCACACGTATAGTCTTATAAGTCAGTGTTAATAGGTTGTGAATAACCATGCCAGTAGGTTGTGACACGTGTGAATCATTGCATGCTTATGTTTATGTTTGTTTGTTGTTTAACGCCGCACTATTCCAGCTATGTGACGGCGGTCTGAAAAATAATCGACTCGGGACCAGACAATCCAGTGATTGACAGCATGCACATCAATCCTCGGGATTTGGATCGATGACATGTATAAACCAGGTAAGCGAGCCTGACCATCCGATCCCTTTAGTCGCTTCTTACGACAAGAATAGTCGCTTCTTACGGCAAGCACGGGTTGCTGAAGACCGATTTTACCCCGGATCTTCAAGGGTTCATGTTTATGTTTATAAATTCTCTCGGTGTACATGTATATTGTTTGCCAGCATGATTAACTATTGTGACAATCTGCGGATGGTATAATGTTTTATATTGGTGTATTAATGTATGTGACTGGACTGTTAAACTCCTTCTTCTTTTAGTTATCATCTTCATCTGGTGTCCATTACCCCATCACAGAGGCATTAACCGACCGTTGAGTGCCACTTCCATAGTGTTTCCTCCTTCTAGTCCAAACCACCTCTCTAAGCAAGTCTATATTTATGCAGGACAGGTGGCACAGCCTTGGTTGAGACGTATGGGGGCCTGGGATTTATTAGGGAGATTGGACATATTTTCCCTACAACTGCAACACCTGACACTTAAAAAATAAACAACTATGAGTCTAAATATTTTTTCGTGAAAAACATGCTGCAATTTTTTTTCGTGGACAATTTAAAAAACTATTTTTTCGATAAACGCGGCACTGCTTCAAGTCTAGTCACGTGTCATTCTGCCACGGTGTACTTTGATACGAGAGTTTCCAGGGTTCTACTTGTAGATGGTGCTAGTTCTTGCACTGTCCTCTTGAGATCAAAGTGTTTCTGAAACCATATTCCTTGCAGTCGGCACAGACGCTTCCATGTCACCACAGTTCTTATCTGGCCGGGGGCACGGGTGGCCCAGTCGTCTAAGGCGCCGCGATTCGCTGTGCAGAGTTGCGTCCCATGGGCACGCCAGAAACCTATGATCGTGGGTTCGAATCCCGGTTCGCCCCGATTATGTTTCTAGGTTTGTCAGCACCATACCCGTGCTCGTGGGTTTCACCGAAGTGGAAAACGTCTGCGACCTGCATCACTTCGGGCTTTCCTCCCACATTAAGCTGACACGCCGCTATATAACTGGAATATTGTTAAAAGCGGCGTTAAACCCAACTCACTCACTCACTCACTCTTTTCTGGCCACGTTAGTTTTTTACTTAAATTGTAATAGCAATAACAAATAGCCTGGTTCCACTATATACACATATTAGCATATATATAGTATGTTTAATGTTTTATTCTGCATCGACGTCGATGTGCAATGGCGTGAACCGAGGTTTTTGGTGTGCTGTAGAGCGTAGTTATTTGTTTAGTCATTTCTCTTGAATAATACATGAACATGACAAACATCAGTTATATGTTTTCGGCGGCCATGTTTACCGCGATTACTCGCGCTATAACGAGGGGCGTGGCGTCACACAGACATATCATTGTTAATATTAATATATATATTGTAAATATTATTATAAATATTTGGTTGATGGTTTGTTTTAAAGATAAAGTTGTCTTTTATGAGTGATGGTGATGTTTCAAAGGTGTTCAGGTGATTTGCGAAAACACTACGTATGTTTTTTAAGCGACGAAAATCCATAACAGGAGGATAGTTTATATGGGAAGGAAATATGTGTCGCGGCTTTCTTTTTTTATCCAAAGAAAAAAACTTATCTAGAACTGCATCGAGAAATTGCTTGTTATGTACAGACAATTGCGTGTTTGCTAAATCTTTAAACCATATGTCCCGTGGTGTTTCCGCGTGACAGAAGGTTCCCACCATCCAATGTTAGTCGACTAAGTCCGTAACTGTTTAATTGGCATTCTAGAAATAAAGTTGGTGAGCTTAAATTTAGAATTATTTTGAGATTGCAATTTTTAAGGGTCTTGTTATAAGTTAATAAAGGTTGCCTCTGTCATAGTGCAAACCATTTCAATACTTTTATTTAAAATAGTGAAAACCATTTCAATACTTATTTAACTTTTCATTTATCTAAATACCTCACTGGTTCAATATGTTTCCAAGTGCCCCGAAATTCTATGCCCTTTTTCTGTTTAATATATTCAGCAAAACTTCGGCGGACCCTCTCTTATAAGCCCCTCCGGGCAGGACCCTTAATCTCCAGCGCTATCTATAAATTTCAATTAACACCTCCTTACGTCGCCGAATCTTACGTATATACATACACGTGGGAAAATGACCTTGCCACACGTTACGTAATACCTCGCTCTACAAAACCCGAGTCACTGCGAAGGGACCACAAATTTTAGTTCGTTATAATCATATATACAGCATATATACAACCAATGGCCGGGACTAAAAAATAAGTTCGTTATATCGGTAAGTTCGTTATAAGCATGTTCCTTATAAACGTAGTTTACTGTATTCATAAAGTCAGCAACGTCGCACCTGACAATTACAAGGCAGTGCACGCGTGTCGATTGTTCCTGGATGGAATGCATTCACAGTTTGACCTGGTATATAGACAGATACAAGGTCACAGCATGTTGAAGTGGTGCGGGAGCTTGGCTGATAGCAACGTTTAGTACTTGAGGCAGTTTACGAGCATCAAGCTGCCTTCCTTGCAAGTCAATTGACAAGCCCGTGAACTTGATCGCATGTGAGTGTACATGGCAGACACAATGGATCCAATAGCAGAAGTAAAGATGTACGAGAACTCCAGCGAGCTGCTACCGCTGATGATCGGAGGACCGGGGCCCGACACGCTCCAAGACTGTAAGGGAATGTTCATGCAGGCGACTGCCGCAGTGTTGGTGAGTGTGTACAACTGTATACAAATTCTTTTTAAATCATGATATCGTCAATGTGAGCGTAATGTGTGTTGGCCCTGGTCCACTGCACGCACGTTTGCACTTAACTGTTAAGTTGGGTGTCATGCTAGAATAGATCGAAAAGGAAACTGCGCGTTGACTCCATTTTTTGTTTTTGTGTTTGTTTGTTGTTTAACGCTGAACTCAGCAATATTCCAGCTATATGATGGCGGTATGTAAATAATCAATCGCGTCTGGACATGACAATCCAGTGGTTGACATCATGAGCATCGATCCACGCATTTGGGATCGATGACTTGCATCAACCAAGAGTCAGCGAGCCTGACCACCCGATCCCGTTTTAATTGTTTCATTTGTGCATAGAACTGACATCAGGCTAGCCCCTCATACTGGCCCTGAAAGAAATGTATCCAATATAGCCCATGCAAGTCTATAATAGTGGGCAAGTCTAGATTACTGCAGTTTTAGGTTATTGAAGCGAGTCTCTGGGCTCCTTTTCATTATATTTTATTCAAATAATTTAACGACTATTTTTTCCTGTAAAATATGTTCATATAGAAGTTAGTCTACCATCAGGCCATAAACAAGTTTAGCTGTATAGGAATGTTACCTTGAATCTCATTAGGAGGCCTGATTTGAGGGAAATAAACGTTAAAACAACATATTTATGCATGATATATATTTGGGTAATCTTCTTGATCTAGCAACTATTATGTGAATGAGTGAGTTGCTGAGTGGGTGAGTGAATGAATGAGTGAATGATTGAGTTGCTGAGCGGGAGAGTAAATGTATGAGTGAGTTGCTGAGTGGGTGAGTGAGTGGTTGAGTGAGTGAATGAGTTGCTGAGCGGGTGAGTGGTTGAGTGAGTGAGTGAGTTGCTGAGTGGTTGAGTGAGTGAGTTCTTGAGCGGGTGAGTGTGTGAGTTGCTGAGTGGGTGAGTGAGTGAGTGGTTGAGTGAGTGAGTTGCTGAGTGGGTGAGTGAGTGAGTGGTTGAGTGAGTGAGTTGCTGAGTGGGTGAGTGAGTGAGTGAGTGAATGAGTTGCTGAGCGGGTGAGTGGTTGAGTGAGTGAGTGAGTTGCTGAGTGGTTGAGTGAGTGAGTTCTTGAGCGGGTGAGTGTGTGAGTTGCTGAGTGGGTGAGTGAGTGAGTGGTTGAGTGAGTGAGTTGCTGAGTGGGTGAGTGAGTGAGTGGTTGAGTGAGTGAGTTGCTGAGTGGGTGAGTGAGTGAGTGAGTGAATGATTGAGTTGCTGAGAGGGAGAGTAAATGTATGAGTGAGTTGCTGAGTGGGTGAGTGAGTGAGTGGGTGAGTGAGTAAATGAGTTGCTGAGCGGGTGAGTGAGTGAGTGAGTGAGTTGCTGAGTGGGTGAGTGAGTGAGTGGTTGAGTGAGTGAGTTCCTGAGTGGGTGAGTGAGTGAGTGAATGAGTTGCTGAGCGGGTGAGTGAATGAGTTAGTGAGTTGCTGAGTGGATCGTTGGGACTCGTAATGGGGCCGTCACACCATGACGTTCTGGTCAGCGTTCTATGACGTTTGAGGAAACGTTGGTAGTCGCCCATGGTCGCTGGGATAGCGCCAGAAGAGCGTTGTGTGAACGCTAGTGAACGTCGGTGATCGCCGGGAATCGGCGGAGAACGCTGGTGCGGAAAAAAAGTTTTGAACATGCACAAAAGTTCTCACTGAGACCAGCGTTCTTCAACGTTTAATTTTAAACGCTGAAGAACGTTTAAGAACGTTCGTGGAACGTTTTACTAACGTTCGCCGAGCGTTGCACGCGTTCGGTTATCGTTAGTCAGTCGTTACTCTAGCGTTACTTGGTTGTTACTAATCGTTTGCTTTGCATTGAACGACTCACTGGCGACCTGTCAACGACCGCTGAAGGTCCCCTAGCGCAGCAAGACGCTATTCTGTCGTTATTCACACGTTAGTCACACGCTCAACACGCTCGTCTAACGTTGACAAATCGTTCGTCGCGCGCCAGTGGCACGTTAGCACACGCTAATGGTTTTCAGGGGTATCTTACTTGGTCGCTGTTACACGCTTGTGGTGCGTTAGACACACGCTAGTCATGCGTTAGGCACACGTTAATCACACGCCAGATGTGTCATCCTCATTCTAGAACGCTCAAAAATTGAACGATTGAAATGTTCAGAGAACGTTGACCAGAACGTCATGGTGTGACGGCCCCTTAAGTGAGAGTTGGAGGGTGGGTATTGAGGTAGTGGGTTGCTGAGTGGGTGGTTGGACTGGCAAGTAAGTGAGAGCGATTATGTTACTTGCAAGGTCAAGGTGAGAAGACATATTGTTCACTATTTCTACATGCTTGAAGCAGCCGAAAGAATAAACTCATTCTTGTGGAATACAGGAAACGGACAATGACATGACGCAGACATTCCGATATGCAGATGCACGAGGCGACCGGGAGTTCCTAGATCAACTTGCTAAGTTCCTGTCTCAGGAGTATAACGATACAGTCACTAGGTAAGCCCAACTAACTCTCTTGTCTCAGGAGTATAACGATACAGTCACTAGGTAAGCCCAACTAATACTCTTGTCTCAGGAGTATAACGATTCAGCCACTAGGTTAGCCCAACTAATACTCTTGTCTCAGGAGTATAACGATTCAGTCACTAGGTAAGCCCAACTAATACTCTTGTCTCAGGAGTATAACGATTCAGTCACTAGGTAAGCCCAACTAACACTCTTGTCTCAGGAGTATAACGATTCAGTCACTAGGTAAGCCCAACTTACACTCTTGTCTCAGGAGTATGACGATTCAGTCACTAGGTAAGCCCAACTAACACTCTTGTCTCAGGAGTATAACGATTCAGTCACTAGGTAAGCCCAACTAACACTCTTGTCTCAGGAGTACTAAGATACTGTCAGTAGGTAAGGCCAGGTAACCCCCTTGTCTCAGGAGTACAAAGATACTGTCAGTGGGTAAGGCCAAGTAACTCTCCTGTCTCAGGAGTACAAAGATACTGTCAGTAGGTAAGGCCAAATAACCCCCTTGTCTCAGGAGTACAAAGATACTGTCACTAGGTAAGGCCAAGTAATTCTCCTGTCTCAGGAGTACAAAGATACTGTCAGTAGGTAAGGCCAAGTAACTCTCCTGTCTCAGGATTTAAAAGATACTGTCAGTAGGTAAGGCCAAGTAACCCCTTTGTCTCAGGAGTACAAAGATACTGTCACTAGGTAAGGCCAAGTAACTCTCTTGTCTCAGGAGTTCAAAGATACAGTCAGTAGGTAAGGCCAAGTCACGCCCTTGTCTCAGGAGTACAAAGATACTGTCAGTAGGTAAGGCCAAGTAACTCTCCTGTCTCGGGAGTACAAAGATACTGTCAGTAGGTAAGGCCAAGTAACTCTCTTGTCTCAGGAGTTCAAAGATACAGTCAGTAGGTAAGGCCAAGTAACTCTTTGTCTCAGGAGTACAAAGATACTGTCAGTAGGTAAGGCCAAGTAACTCTCCTGTCTCAGGATTTAAAAGATACTGTCAGTAGGTAAGGCCAAGTAACCCCTTTGTCTCAGGAGTACAAAGATACTGTCAGTAGGTAAGGCCAAGTAACTCTCCTGTCTCAGGATTTAAAAGATACTGTCAGTAGGTAAGGCCAAGTAACCACCTTGTCTCAGGAGTACAAAGATACTGTCAGTAGGTAAGGCCAAGTAACTCTCCTGTCTCAGGATTTAAAAGATACTGTCAGTAGGTAAGGCCAAGTAACCCCCTTGTCTCAGGAGTACAAAGATACTGTCAGTAGGTAAGGCCAAGTAACTCTCCTGTCTCAGGAGTACAAAGATACTGTCAGTAGGTAAGGCCAAGTAACTCTCCTGTCTCAGGATTTAAAAGATATTGTCAGTAGGTAAGGCCAAGTAACCCCTTTGTCTCAGGAGTATAAAGATACTGTCACTAGGTAAGGCCAAGTAACTCTCTTGTCTCAGGAGTACAAAGATACTGTCAGTAGGTAAGGCCAAGTCACTCCCTTGTCTCAGGAATACAAAGATACTGTCAGTAGGTAAGGCCAAGTAACTCTCTTGTCTCAGGAGTACAAAGATACTGTCAGTAGGTAAGGCCAAGTAACTCTCCTATCTCAGGAGTACAAAGATACTGTCAGTAGGTAAGGCCAAGTCACTCCCTTGTCTCAGGAGTACAAAGATACTGTCAGTAGGTAAGGCCAAGTAACTCTCTTGTCTCAGGAGTACAAAGATACTGTCAGTAGGTAAGGCCAAGTAACTCTCCTGTCTCAGGAGTACAAAGATACTGTCAGTAGGTAAGGCCAAGTCACTCCCTTGTCTCGGGAGTACAAAGATACTGTCAGTTGGTAAGGCCAAGTAACTCTGGGGCACACCGAATCGCGGCGCCTTAGACGACTGGGCTACCCGTGCCCCCGACTTGACTTGAGGGTCTTGAGAAAGGTATGTGCCCTTCATCATATGCATTCTACAACAAGTGAACCTATATTCACAGTATTCTTCCGTTGACCTGGCTGATTGTATATCATTGACGGTGTGGACCGTGGTCATCCATTTACAAAGTAGCTTGATGTCAAGGGTATTTGTTGTCAGCTCGCAGCTCATGTTGACGGCAGGGGCAACTCAAGGTCTCCATTTCTTGGCGTCTCTGCTGTTCAGTAAAAACACCGTGGCATTTGTGGAGGACCCGACCTACTACGCTGCGTACAGGCTATTGCAGCATGACCTCCAGATGAATGTAGTTCCCGGTGAGTTGCTGAAAGATTGTGAAATAGTTTGTGTATGTAAAGAACAAACCAAAGTTATAGACTTTTCTACCACGAATACTTCCACGTGGCATTGCGGCTTCATTTGGTCTATTTATTTCATGAGGTCAAAGGTCAAGGTCGCCAGAAAAAATGTTCGCCTTAACCATCTGGGCCCGGTTGTTCAGAACCCGGTTAAAGATTACCTCTCCGTTAAATTTTACCAAATGGTTATGTTGTTTCTCAAAGCAAGGTTATCTTTAACGGCTTGTTAAACCCCCGTTAAAGTTAGCACTCCTCCCGACCTTCATTAAATACTTAACCTTGGTTATCTTTGAAACAAAATGGCGTACATGGTTAGGCCTAGCGCCGCTTTCATGGTTCCAGAGGTTAATGCGAGGCAACAGAAGCGATTCCGAGCTGTAAATTTTGCATTCATGAACTACACAGACAGTGAACTTCGTGATAGGTACAGATTTGGACGAGAATATATCAACTACATCGCCAATATACTGAGGGAAGATTTGGAGCGCCCCACACAACGTAGCCATGCTCTAAACGTCGATGGCAGATTTCCGTTTTTACGCAAGTGGTATAGTTTTCCTGCAAGTGATTGGTGATACGATGGGTGTGGACAAAAGTACAGCTTCACGTGTCATAGTAGATGTGACTGATACTTTGGTTAAAATAAAATGGCAAACCAAAGAATGCTACATACGTCAAGTTGAAGATGGATTTTTCGCCCTTGGCGGTTTTCTGAGTGTCCGAGGCTGCACTGATTGTATATTAAACCTAAGCGATGATTTAACCAAGATGTTAACATTTAACCGAGTGGTTAGCTAACCTCATCTACTGATCCTGCAACAGTAAATTAACTAACGTGTGGTTAAATATTTAACGGTTGGTTAGGAGTTAACCTGACATTAACATAGCCGGGTTCTGAACAACCGGGCCATGGTTGCATTTTCACAGGAAGTACAAACTTGATGGTTGAGGTCATCTTGAAAATGTTTACTGAGTCGAAGTCATGTCACAGTCCAGGGTCCCGTTCCACAAAGCAATTTTAGTCCTGTGACTGGCATAAGCCCATGTTAAAGTATGGGAGTTACGATCGCCTCAGCGCTAAGATCGCTTTGTGGAACGGGTCCCAGGTCATAGTCATTGAAACATTTCCTTGCTAAAGTAATGTTTGTGTACCAAAAACGTTTGTGCCGACATCTTCGACATTTTGTTGTTCCATGATTTGATTAATTGGATTTGTCTGATTGAAAACAAGTAATGACAACCTTATCTTGTCAGTTCAAAGTAGTTGTTGAGATTTTTAAGTTTTTGATTCATGACAGCATTCATCACTACAGCAGTAGAAATAAAACTGATCGTATATTGGTTAGCATTATTACTTTTGATCCAACGGTACACTTGGTGTATGAGGTATCGCATTGTATGCAATGTCTGTCTTGGAACAGTGCAGACAGACGCGGATGGAATCGACACCAATGTTCTGGACAAGTTATTGTCTGAACACCGTCCAAAGTCCTTTGCTGTTACACCGGAGCGGCCATTCTGGGCGATGATCTATGTCATTCCAGTCTTCAATAACCCAACAGGACAGTGCTACTCACAAGGTGGGTTATATCCTACATGATGTATTATGTCCTACATTGTTGGTTATATCCTGCATGGTGTATTATGTCCTACATGGCGGGTTATATCCTGCATGATGTATAATGTCCTACATTGTGGGTTATATCCTGCATGATGTATTATGTCCTACATGGCGGGTTATATCCTGCATGATGTATTATGTCCTACATGGCGGATTATATCCTGCATGATATATTATGTCCTACATTGTGGGTTATATCCTGCATGATGTATTATGTCCTACATTGTGGGTTATATCCTACATGATATATTATGTCCTACATGGTGGGTTATATCCTGCGTGATATATTATGTCCTACATGGCGGGTTATATCCTACATGATATATTATGTCCTACAGGATGGGTTATATCCTACATGATGTTTTATGTCCTACATGGCGGGTTATATCCTACATGATGTATTATGTCCTACATTGTGGGTTATATCCTACATGATGTTTTATGTCCTACATGGTGGGTTATATCCTACATGATGTTTTATGTCCTATATTGTGGGTTATATACTACATGATGTTTTATGTCCTACATTGCGGGTTATATCCTGCATGATGTATTATGTCCTACATTGTGGGTTATATCCTGCATGATGTATTATTTCCTACATGGTGGGTTATATCCTACATGATGTATTATGTCCTACATTGTGGGTTATATCCTGCATGATGTATTATGTCCTACATGGCGGGTTATATCCTGCATGATGTATTATGTCCTACATGGCGGGTTATATCCTACATGATGTTTTATGTCCTACATGGCGGGTTATATCCTACATGATGTTTTATGTCCTACATTGTGGGTTATATCCTACATGATGTATTATGTCCTACATTGTGGGTTATATCCTGCATGATGTATAATATCCTACATTGTGGGTTATATCCTGCATGATGTATTATGTCCCACATGGTGGGTTATATCCTGCATGATGTATAATGTCCTACATTGTGGGTTATATCCTGCATGATGTATTATGTCCTACATGGCGGGTTATATCCTGCATGATGTATAATGTCCTACATTGTGGGTTATATCCTGCATGATGTATTATGTCCTACATGGCGGGTTATATCCTGCATGATGTATAATGTCCTACATTGTGGGTTATATCCTGCATGATGTATTATGTCCTACATGGCGGGTTATATCCTGCATGATGTATTATGTCCTACATGGTGGGTTATATCCTGCATGATGTATTATGTCCTACATGGCGGGTTATATCCTGCATGATATATTATGTCCTACATTGTGGGTTATATCCTGCATGATGTATTATGTCCTACATGGTGGGTTATATCCTGCATGATGTATAATGTCCTACATTGCGGGTTATATCCTGCATGATGTATTATGTCCTACATTGTGGGTTATATCCTACATGATGTATTATGTCCTACATTGTGGGTTATATCCTACATGATATATTATGTCCTACATTGTGGGTTATATCCTGCATGATGTATTATGTCCTACATGGTGGGTTATATCCTGCATGATGTATAATGTCCTACATTGTGGGTTATATCCTGCATGATGTATTATATCCTAAAAGGTGGGTTATATCCTGCATGATATATTATGTCCTACATTGTGGGTTATATCCTGCATGATGTATTATATCCTAAAAGGTGGGTTATATTCTGCATGATATATTATGTCCTACATGGCGGGTTATATCCTACAGGATGTATTATATCCTAAAAGGTGGGTAATATGTACATGATGTGTTATATCCTACAGGGTGGGTTATATCCTACAGGATGTATTATATCCTAAAGGTGGGTAATATGTACATGATGTGTTATATCCTACAGGGTGGGTTATATCCTACAGGATGTATTATATCCTAAAAGGTGGGTAATATGTACATGATGTCTTATATCCTACAGGGTGGGTTATATCCTACAGGATGTATTATATCCTAAAGGTGGGTAATATGTACATGATATGTTATGTCCTACAGGGTGGGTTATATCCTACAGGATGTATTATATCCTAAAGGTGGGTAATATGTACATGATGTGTTATGTCCTACAAGGTGGGTTATATAAGTGTGTGACTTGGTATGCTCTGCTTGCTTCAGAGAGATGCTGTGAGTTGGTACGTTTGGCCAGACAGCATGACGTGCTGGTCGTAGCTGAGGATATATATAACCTGGTGTACTACGGAGAAAACAGTCCAAAACGTCTCCTGGCGTATGACAAGTAAGTGTCAGAAACAGGAACACAATGTTACTTGAGAAATTTGATGATTAATTCCAAGAGATGTAATTCTGATTTCTCAGTGAAAATATTCCTCACATCTATAGCTGCATTGACAATCATATCCAAGGGCAAGTAAGGCAAGGTATTTTCTCACTCCTTGTGACCAATGATCAAACTTTGATGATGATCAAATACAAATGATCAAATTCTGATGAATGGTCATGTTTCTGCTCTAGATCTGACCCTGCTTACAAGGGCAACGTTGTCTCCAACTGCACATTTTCCAAGATTCTGGCTCCTGGGCTTCGCCTTGGATGGCTGGAGGCTCCGGAGAGGGTCCTTGGTGCTCTAGACAACAGGTTAACACATTTACTAGCACCTTGGTACCATTTTACACATGACATACACCACTGGTGGCCCCACTGTTTTAGGGAGCAACAAGTGGCTATGCGTTGAATTATGACTGTTCCTGTTTCTGTGACTGAGTGAGTGAGTGAGTGAGTTGGGGTGTTCTCAACTTTTACATGTTCCCGTCATATGAACAGTGGAGTGTCATATTACCAGAATTGGTATTCTAACATTGAACAAAAAAATGCATGAACTGTTGGTACTCTGGTGTTGATATGTTGGTGTTGCTGAAATTGCTGAACACTTCCAGCTGTCATAAACGCTGTAAACAGGTAGGGTTATATCAAACGTTTGAGGAATCAGTAATCAAAGAAAAAATGAACCACTAAGTGTGTCACTTGTCGAATTGGTTCGATTGTAGATCTTTGAAGCAGCACTAGGCACAACCCTGTCGAATGGGTTTGACAGTAGCATTAAAAATAATGCAGTAACAGAGATGTTGAATATCTATTGCAGTAATGTGGCATGGAGTGGAGGCAGTCTGAACCACTACGCCTCCAAGATAGCGACAGCCATCATGAAACTAGGCTTGCAGCAGAAGCATGTGCAGACACTCAGACAGATCTACAAGGTAGACCTTCAGACACCCAGACACTCAGACAGATCTAAAAGGTAGACTTTCAGACACTAAGACACTCAGACAGATCTACAAGGTAGACCTTCAGACACCCAGACACTCAGACAGATCTACAAGGTATACTTTCAGACACCCAGACACTCAGACAGATCTACAAGGTAGACCTTCAGACACCCAGACACTCAGACAGATCTACAAGGTAGACCTTCAGACACTCAGACAGATCTACAAGGTAGACCTTCAGACACCCAGACACTCAGACAGATCTACAAGGTAGACCTTCAGACACCCAGACACTCAGACAGATCTACAAGGTAGACCTCCAGACACCCAGACACTCAGACAGATCTACAACGTAGACCTTCAGACACCCAGACAGATCTACAAGGTATACCTCCAGACACTCAGACAGATCTACAAGGTAGACCTTCAAACACCCAGACACTCAGACAGATCTACAAGGTAGACCTTCAGACACCCAGGTACTCAGACAGCTCTACAAGGTAGACCTTCAGACACCCAGACACTCAGACAGATCTACAAGGTAGACATCCAGACACTCAGACAGATCAACAAGGTAGACACTCAGACCAAAATCAGATCTACAAGGTAGACCTTCAGACACTCAGACACAGAAAGATCTACAAGGTAGTCCTTCAGACACTCAGACAGATCTACGAGGTAGACCTTCAGACACTCAGACACAGACAAATCTACAAGGTAGACAATCAGACAAATATACAATGCAGACTCCACAAAGCCATCAAATATACAGGAAAACAAACCGGTGGCGATTCCAGTGTAGAATTGGTCCCAAGGAACCTATGCTTGCAAGAGGCGACTTAATTGTTGGGTGGTCAGTTTCGGTGACTTGATGGACGGGGTGTCATCGTACCCGGATAGGGTGGAATGTTGCTTATAATATCAATCACTGGACTGTTTGGTCCAGACCTGATTATTGACCGTAATTGATGAGCATTAAACAAACAAAAGCAGTAAGTGGGTACTGACAAGGGGGAGTTAAGGTGGGATTATGCTTCGGGAAATTAATGCTACGTACCCTAGTTGGGGTGTGAAGTACCTTCAACCAATAACTGCCCCAATCTGTAATGTGATGTAAATAAAGTAATGTAAAGCGCCTGGTACTAAGCCAAATCATATCATCTTGTGTTTTCTTGTGCATATTAGAGATATTCGTGTCGACACGCCCCCCTTTGTCATTTTTCTAAGTGCCGAAGGCACTTATTACAGCAACTATGGAGCCTCGTTGAAGCAAAGTAACATATACTACCGACAAAAAGTAAGGGAACTAATGATTTGAATGTCATAGATACTGAGGTGTAGTGAGTTAGTATTTTTTAGTCATTTTTAATGCGGTATAAACATCTGATTAGTTAATTGTTAGTGCCATTAATCTGTTATTTTACTGACATTATTAATTTTATATACTCAAAAGAAGTTGAAGAACAACCAAGTATTTCATATGACCATAGTTAATCAGTCATGGCTGGTGGGTATTGGGGGTGCTCTCTAACTTGGTTTGAGTGGTATATGTTTCAACCTTTTTAAGGAAAAGAAGTCATGAATAATACCATGTGGTCCCAGTGGTGATAGTATGCATTCTTGTAGGACCGGATGGTGTTGATGTGCGAGACTCTTCAGAAAGGCCTGCCATCTTGTGCCACTTTTAAACAACCACAGGTCAGTGCCGTCCAGGAGTAGGGACAGGGGGATAGTGGGTAATATACCACAGGTCAGTGCCGGTCCGGCAGTCCATCCAGAAGTAGGGACAGGGGGATAGTGGGTAATATACCACAGGTCAGTGCCGGTCCGGCAGTCCATCCAGAAGTAGGGACAGGGGGATAGTGGGTAATATACCACAGGTCAGTGCCGGTCCGGCAGTCCATCCAGAAGAAGGGACAGGGGGATAGTGGGTAATATACCACAGGTCAGTGCCGGTCCGGCAGTCCATCCAGAAGTAGGGACAGGGGGATAGTGGGTAATATACCACAGGTCAGTGCCGGTCCGGCAGTCCATCCAGAAGTAGGGACAGGGGGATAGTGGGTAATATACCACAGGTCAGTGCCGGTCCGGCAGTCCATCCGGAAGTAGGGACAGGGGGATAGTGGGTAATATACCACAGGTCAGTGCCGGTCCGGCAGTCCATCCAGAAGAAGGGACAGGGGGATAGTGGGTAATATACCACAGGTCAGTGCCGGTCCGGCAGTCCATCCAGAAGTAGGGACAGGGGGATAGTGTGTATATACCACAGGTCAGTGCCGGTCCGGTTGTCCATCCAGAAGTAGGGACAGGGGGATAGTGGGTAATATACCACAGGTCAGTGCCGGTCCGGCAGTCCATCCAGAAGTAGGGACAGGGGGATAGTGGGTGATATACCACAGGTCAGTGCCGGTCCGGCAGTCCATCCAGAAGAAGGGACAGGGGGATAGTGGGTAATATACCACAGGTCAGTGCCGGTCCGGCAGTCCATCCAGAAGTAGGGACAGGGGGATAGTGGGTGATATACCACAGGTCAGTGCCGGTCCGGCAGTCTTTACAGAAGTAGGGACAGGGGGATAGTGGGTAATATACCACAGGTCAGTGCCGGTCCGGCAGTCCATCCAGAAGAAGGGACAGGGGGATAGTGGGTAATATACCACAGGTCAGTGCCGGTCCGGCAGTCCATCCAGAAGTAGGGACAGGGGGATAGTGGGTAATATACCACAGGTCAGTGCCGGTCCGGCAGTCCATCCAGAAGTAGGGACAGGGGGATAGTGGGTAATATACCACAGGTCAGTGCCGGTCCGGCAGTCCATCCGGAAGTAGGGACAGGGGGATAGTGGGTAATATACCACAGGTCAGTGCCGGTCCGGCAGTCCATCCAGAAGAAGGGACAGGGGGATAGTGGGTAATATACCACAGGTCAGTGCCGGTCCGGCAGTCCATCCAGAAGTAGGGACAGGGGGATAGTGTGTATATACCACAGGTCAGTGCCGGTCCGGTTGTCCATCCAGAAGTAGGGACAGGGGGATAGTGGGTAATATACCACAGGTCAGTGCCGGTCCGGCAGTCCATCCAGAAGTAGGGACAGGGGGACAGTGGGTAATATACCACAGGTCAGTGCCGGTCCGGCAGTCCATCCAGAAGATGTGAGTGAGTTGGGTTTAACGCCGCTTTTAACAGTATTCCAGTTATATCACGGTGTGTCAGCTTAATATGGGAAGAAAGCCCGAAGTGATGTAGGTCTCAGACGTTTACCACTTCAGTGAAACCCACGAGCACGGGTATGGTACTGAAAAACCTAGAAACATAATCGGGGCGAACCGGGATTCGAACCCACAATCATAGGTTTCTGGGGTAAAATGTTGGTTTGGGGTATCATGAAGTCAGAAGCATATCCCTGTCAAACGTTGAGTGGTATAGATTTGTGATGTAGTAACATTCCATTCAGAAATTAGGGTAGTCCAGTAGTGAATGTTCGTTTGGGTTTGGGTTTGGGGTTGGGTTTTGTTCCTTAGCTTGAAACAATGTGTGAAACGTTTTTCTTTGGGAGGCCTAATGTTTATTCCGAGGAGCTTCAGTATATGTAACTGACTCCATAAATATATATTAAAATTAAAAAATATAATTTGATATCGCCGATATTTGGAGAAGGTGGCACTCGGAGAAACTAGAGATTCTAATAAAGTACCCGACATTTAGGGAGGATCAGTGAAGGAAGTGGCCTTTATATAGGGAGGGACATTGAGTACATAGATGGATGACACTTCCCTTGCTGACTGAAATAATGACTGGTCCCTGACCTTGTACATTGTCTGTGTGGCAGGGAGGCTTCTTTGTGTGGGTGCAACTACCGGAAGCTGTGGACGCACTACTACTCCTCAGGATGGCCGTTAAAAAATATAAGATCAATTTTCTTCCAGGATTTTGGTTAGTATGTTTTGTTTGTTATTGGTTTAGTATTTTGTCTACAGTGAGGGATTTTCTAATATTTCCAATTGGAATATGAAAATATATTTCTGCATGACTATCCCACTCCTAATATATTTTGTAATTTATTATCACTTTTTCAACTCAAATTTGTTTTTCACCCATGTGACCTGTTCACATTTAACCTAAGTGACCTAATGCCTTACAGTTTAACCTTAGTGACGTATTGTCTTGCAGTTAAACCTAAATGAACTTAGTTTTGACATATTTCTTTTTCACTTTTTGTAAGGGTAGACAAAATCCTTATTGCTTAAACAATGCTTTAAAAAAAGTCTCGCCTTATATTAAATCCTTCCTGTTTCAGTGCCTCCCCCAGCGGAGGCTACAAGAACTATGTGAGACTGTCCATCAGCTTCTGTAATCAGGCCACCCTGACCCGGGGACTTGAAGCTTTCTGTTCCGCCATCCGCGACTTCATCGCCGGAGAAACACAATAAGTTGAGAAGTCTGCCCAGCATTCGTCACCACTCGCCCCTTTCCGTAACCTGCAAGAAGACTCTCGATATTCGGCTTGTCCCGGAATAACACGAGTTGGTCACGAATGGTCTGCCCAGCCGTGGCTCCTCTTTAACAAGACAAAGTCATCAATGCCCCCTCCTGTATAAAATCACCATATTAAGCAACAAAACCACACAATAATTATATAGACAGAGAAAAGTTATAAATATGAATATCGAGAATATTACCCTAATAGAATATTTGAACGTCAGTAGAGAGTGTGGTTTAGCAATATTCAGCAACTTCACGGCGGGAAAAACAGACATTGGTTCAACACATATAGGGAACCGAACTGGGGTCTTCGGTCTGACGAGCAAGCACTTTAACCACTAGACTAACCCACCGCCTCTATAGCCAGAGTAACCATGTCCACAGTTACTGTCACGTTTAGCTTTATGCAATTTTCCCAATGAAGTGGCACAGATATGAAGCTATATCAGGAATAATAAGCTGTCTTCGATGTGGACGAGAGGATCTGCAATATACACCTAGCCTCACCTGACTTGTGGTGGGGCAAATTAACAGGCTGCTAATACTTCGTACTGTTTACCCGTGAAGATCCGGGGTAGAATAGGTCTTCAGCAACCAATACATGCCGTAAAAGGCGACTATGCTTGTCGTAAAAGGCGACTAACGGGATCGGGTGGTCAGGCTTGCTGACTTGGTTGATGCATGTCATCGATCCCAATTGCGTGGAGCGATGCTCATGATGTCAATCACTGGTTTGTCTAGTCCAGACTCGATTATTTACAGACCCCCGTCATATAGCTGGAATATTGCCGAGTGCGGCGTTAAACAACAAACCAACTGGCAGCATGTGAGGATATTGGAAGAGGCTGAGAGATTTGACTGATGATATTACCGTCTACTGATGGTTGATTCAGAAATGAATCCAAGGTTGTGTTTTCTTGTTACATTTTTTATATCCTTCATTTCCATTTATGACTTCACATAATGAGTTTTAATAAGAAGCAGTTGCATATTTATACAAATCAACTGTGTTTGCAGGTAGTCATGGCAACAGAAGTAACCCCATCGCCCTTTGGTCAAGATTGGTCTAAGATCATATTCAGGAGGACATGGAGGGATGCATCTGTTTCTTCTCTTCCCATTTTTTTTTCTTCTTTCTTTCTTCAAATTTGTCTTACTGAACATTCTGGATGTCACTTTCTAATTGTGGGGTTTAGTTTACGAATGATATCAACATTGAAAGGCATGCTTGACTAAAGATTTTAACATGTTACATTCGCTATTGTGGAATAGGTAATATTGTTAAAATTAACTTAAGCCTCATCTTTTAGGCTTGGTTTACAGATGCACAAGGGTTATTATTTTTATATGACCACATATGCGTATTATGGAACATATGTTTTTATTCTACATAGGCATGGCTTGCCAGTCTCACTGCATTACACATTCCCATTGCTGCTGTAGACTTTCAGATATGGCTGTCCCGTCAATGTTAAACCCGAATCAAAGGTCAGGCCAACCAATCCTTAAAACACACCGAATGGCACAACTTTTTGTAATGTCATGCATCACAGAGTTATTCCAGCTATGTCACAAGGCATTTCGGTCGAAATAAAAATAAAAATATATTTCAATTATTTGTCTATATGCAATCTCATTGAAATCATATCTTAGTTCTCACTATCGCTTAACAAAGATCTGAGGACATCCCATTACGGGTCACGTCAGAACGACCTTTCGCGACCGACGACTGAAATGACTAACAAGAACTCGACATCAGCCAATTAGAAAGCAGCTTTTTCGAGCTTTACGAAACTCGTTTCAACCTGGCGACTTCCATTTCGGACTACGCTTGAACGATATGTTGACACAGTTCTCGATTAAAATTTTTGAAAACTGAACAAACGAACATTCCGGAATGTCTAATATATGGTTGCGATTGTATGGCAGTGCTTCCCATGTACTGTGCAACGCCTCCTCCGTTCAAATGTTTATCTCACGGAAGCGAGAGATAGACGATAATTTTGACGGAATCAGTCGTACGGGCCCTAACTGTCGTTCGGAATACCCCGTGTTAACGTTTTCGAGGTTGCATGATCAGAAAAGACATTCCGACTGTCGCTTTCATGATCTGGTAAGCGACGCTTTGGTTGGTCGGATGAGGGTCGTTCTGACGTGACCCGTAACGGGATGTCCTCAGATCTTTGTGTAGCGGCAGCGAGAACTTAGGTCTGATTTTAATGAGATTGATTTATATGAAAATCATTCTGCTGTAAAGGTACAGTTGGTCCCTTGAATCACAGATAGTGATTTATACATGGAATTTATGTAAAACATTTTATATTGTATAAGAGGGTATATATATATACTAGCGGGAGACATATATAAATATATGAATGTTTAATTTATTTCTTGGACTGCTTTTCAGTAGGGGCAGCGGGCCCATGAAACGAAAAGTAAAACATGTGTGGCCTCAGGACCCATACCAGGCTAAGATTATTTTTTCTAATCACCTACTAGTAAAATCATACTTTATGATGATAAAAAAATATCTAGTTTATCCAATGCATTTTTACGACCTACCAACACATTCTCACCATCAAAAACCGTAAATCCGAAATATGAATTTAAACAAAGTGGCCCCACCTGTTTCCGATTAATGAATTTGATATCCAATGCTGACTGCAACTTGAACATAAAGGTTAGGTGAGGTGAAATGGGGTTAAACGTTTCGTTTAAGATTATTGCACTTATGTAGCGAAGTGCATGCACGTGTGTGTGTGTCTGCTCTTCTAATCCAGAGTAATGCAGATTTTATAGTGCTAGCCCACTGAGATACCATCTCGCAGTTTAACACCACTCAGACACAGTATACTGACTCCGAGCCGACCAGTCCTTGTTTTAGGCCTTTAAAACCGAGCACCAGGCAGGGTAACAACAAGTACCATCTTTTAAAATCGTTTAGTATCACACAGTCGGTGATCAAACCCCGCCGGACCTTCCGTGGATGCTCTACCACTAGACCATGGAGGCGGTCTAAACATAAAGGATTCATTTCACATTTGTAACTGTTGACAACTTAACCACATACGCTGGCGTCATGGCACTATCCTTATAATTCAAAAGACGTTAAAAGGTGGTACTTGTTGTTACCCTGTCTGGCGCTTGACATTAAGGGGCTACAACAAGGACTGGTCGGCTCGGACTCAGTATACTGTGTCTGAGTGGGGTATTCAGGTTAAACTGCGGCATGGTATCTCAGTGTGCTAGCACTATAAGCTCGGCATTAGTCCATACTACTACAAACAGCCACACGTGCATGCACGTCGCGATATAAGTGCAATAAAAAAACATTTCGCGTCACCTCACCTCAACACATAAGCCTTAACTTAACTGGCGTTGTGTCCACGTATTTGTGTTTCGCGTTACTTTAGGTCATACGATTCTTTCGTGTACGGCTTCCTGACAATAAAAGTCAGCCAGTCCTTCCTACCTAGTCTACATTGTATTGCTACTCATGTGTCCCATCTCAAGTTATAAGGTTGTTTAGGAGTAGTCACCTTGACCTACACTCGCATGATAACTTTTAACTGCAAGTCAAGTGAGCTTATGTCGTGCCGTGTCTGGTGAGCATTGTACCGTAAACATCTTATCCTTAGAAGCAATTGACGCTAAAACACGTTTGTTCCCTCCAATGATGACAGCCGAATTTGTTCAATCGGATTTTCAAAATGGAATAATTATGGTGCATGTGCACTTTATTGTGTGTTTCAACATATATTTCGTTTATAACGATAATAAAAGTCTTGACGTTTTGACCTTGCTCTTACATTCCGTCTCTAAATTTCCTGTCCTCTGAAATTAGCAGAACTTTGACATGCATGTTTCTCCTTGTGATGAGATCATATTTTGTTCAAATCAATTGTTTTTTTGTGCCCAGTCTAGGTTGCTGGGGACTAATTCCAACCCAGAATACCACTGGTGAGGGTCCCTATAAGATTGGTTGGTTGGTTGGTTGAAAATTGGTTAACGCCGCACTCAGCAATATTCCAACAATATGACGACGGTCTGTAAATAATCGAGTATGGACCAGACAACCATATAAGGAAACACTGAGAACTATGAATGTCTGAAGCATGTTTATTTACACAATGGTTTACAACAACAAAGACGCTGACAGCTATACAGATCTGGCTTATATACAAGCTGCTGTAGGAAAACTGGGTCTACATGAAGTACTTCTATTCATATCGTCAACACTTAACGCTTGCCTACACATACATTCCTCCATCATGTGATGACAAAGGGTAGTTGCTATTAACCAATCGGTAAGTGAGTGAGTATGGTTTTACACCGCTTTTAGCAATATTCCAGCAATATCACAGCGAGGGACACCAGAAATGGGCTTCATACATAGTACCCATGTCGGTAATCGAGCAAGGGTCTTTAATGTGACGAGCGAAGGCTTTAACAACTAGGCTACCCGACCGTCGGGTTGCTATTAACCAATAAGTAAGTGAGTGAGTATGGTTTTACACCGCTTTTAGCAATATTCCAGCAATATCACAGCGAGGGACACCAGAAATGGGCTTCACACACTGTACCCATGTCGGGAATCATGCAAGGGTCTTTAATGTGACGAGCGAACGCTTTAACAACTAGGCTACCCGACCGCCCCGACGGCCCCACTGAAGCCATCAGATTTTTACAAATTTGTGGTCACTAGACTTCAAGGATCCGGAGAAGATTCTCACCCCTTACTAGAGTGATTCTGTCATGACATGACAGATTAACTATAATAATATGAATGAAAGAGGTGATCCTTAACTTTTTTTAGTAGTATAATAATTTATTCAAGCAGCGGTCGGATTCGCACAAAGTTCAAGCAGGATTCACTACGACAACGCATATCGGCCCAGTGTACTCGGGTGATGGAGGAGCGTTATTTACATTAACATGTGAAGTATTGACGATGTTTGATTCATGGAACATACAAACACAGTGGAACACACGACCTGGAGGATCTGTTAATGACATTTCGTCAACATTTGACATTATTACTAGTAGTGTATCGATTGCATACAAAGTGAATATATATTGAGAAATTCTGCACTTATTTCCACAATGTAAACTCCAGGGACCATTGACTGGAAGATTGCACATGATTTAGCAGAACTTCTGAATGACTTGTATCAACGCACACGTCACACCATAAAGTGACGACTGAATCATGCTTGCTTCATATGAACAGGGATGTTATACCAAGGCTCGACTTTAAAATTTGTTTACAAATCCGCTTACTCCCGAAAATTAGAATGTGAAAAACAAAAAAGGAGAAAAAAAAGTGGTTTTGTTTTATTACACGGACAAGAAATATGTAAATAAACAAAAAATCTCATTTTCTGCCGTTATTAACATAAATAAATTAATTCAAATACTTGCATCTAAACCTTTTTAAAATTTATCGTAAAACTGCCAAAATACAATGAAATATGACGAATCCTAAGTGGACATAATATATAGATTTGAAATTGGATTTTTCCTCTTTTTCTATTTCAGCCTACTCACCTAAATTTTGGCGCCAAAAAATATTAAGCAGCCTGTAATTATTCGCGTCCAGACAATCATGAGCATCGATCCACGCACTTGGGATACAATGACATGGTAAGCACAAGATTGCTGGGACCTATATTCTCACCCGAAATCTAATCCTAAAGGGCTAGAGAGCCAAGACACACCATCTGGTGCAGTTAAACTCCGCCCAGTCCATATCTTGGTTTGTTTTTTTCAATTTGCTGGCAGCCTGTAAATAGGTCATTGTATCCTAATTGCGTGGACCGATGCTCATGAGATCAATCACTGGATTGTCTGGTCCAGACTCGATTATTCACAGACTGCCGTCATAAAGCTGGAATATTGGTGAGAGCGGGGTTTAGCCGCAAGCAAACAGACTGATGAGATTGAAAAATAATTGATGACTGTTAGTACCAGAGACAAAGTCAGCCTAATTCATGTTCTTGAATTAATGACACGCCTACCAAATGTTGTATGTCTATGTAATAATAAAATACAAAAGATTCTTAAAATGTTTAAACGAAAACGTCTTTTAGCTCCAAAAGGTTATACAAGGAAATCAATGGAAATAAGCTTCAAACATCCCTGACTTTTCCCTCCCTCATTCGGCCCGTGAAGACGCCGGGGTAGAATAGGTCTTCAGCAACCCATGCTTGCCGTAAAAGATGACTACGCTTGTCGTAAAAGGCGACTAACGGGATCGGGTGGTCAGGCTCGCTGACTTGGTTGATGCATGTCATCGATCCCAATTAAGTGGATTGATGCTCATGATAATAATCACTGGATTGTCTGGTCCAGACTCGATTATTTACAGACCGCCGTCATATAGCTGGAATATTGCTGAGTGCGGCGTTAAACAACGAAACAACCAACCAACCAACCCTCCCCCATTCATTTTCCAATTTTGCCTCCTCGCTACTTGACAAAGACAATCTGTGAAACAAGAATTTTTATTTTTCTGGCCCAACAAAGATTTTACATTCTTATTTTTCAACCTTACTCAGTAATACATTTTTTCTATATATTACCAGATAGTATAATAATAGGATTAAATTGCGTAGTTCAGTTCGGATTTGTTGAGTGGTATTTCCGGTGTTACGTGAACGCGGTGATCAGCTGATACTGTTTTCTGAGATGGGGGAAAACATCGTGTCATTGGAAAACTTGAGTTTATTGAAAATGTTAGTAAATTTTGGGAGCCATGCTTTACCGCGCGCTATAACCGAGTTAGCGCTATATTGAAGGGCGCAATAACGAGGGAACACTGTACATCACAGTGAGACAGCCTTGCAAGGATCCCCCTTATTTTCATTCAACCTATACGGTTAATTGGCTAATGGATTCCTTTATAACAAAGGTGTCCTCGAACACAGTGCATAGTCTAAGGATAATTATAAACACAGTAGCACTGAATCCCTTAGTTTAATGCCACTTATGGCAACACGGGCGGATCCAGGAGTTTGCAAAAGGTAGTCGTCTACACGTCAGGAAGTGACTTGGCTGAGGGTGGAGTTAACACATAAACTCTTGATTCGCACATGCAACATTCCAGCCATATCCAGCGACGTAGCAAGAACCATTGACCGAGCAAGCGAGATGGGTCCAACACCACTTTTAAACATATTCCAGTTATATCACGGGGATTTAAGGTTTGATGTGGGAGGACAGCCCGAAGTGATACAGGCCTCAGAAGTTAACCACTTTTGGTGTGCCCCGCCTCGATATTGCTGGAATATTGCTAAAAACAGCGTTAAACCATACTCACTCACTCTCATAATATAGAGTGATGAGCATAAAGCTGCTTTGAACAGTATTTCAGTTTTACCATGGCCCTGTGAGTGAGTTAGTGAGTTCGGTTTAACACCGCTTTTAACAGTATTCCAGTTATATCGCAGCGTGTTAGCTTAATGTGGGAGGAAAGCCCGGAGTGATGCAGGTCTCAGACGTTTACCACTTCCGTGAAACCCACCAGCACGGGTATGGAGCTGACAAACCTAGAAACATAATTGGGGCGAACCGGGATTCGTACCCACAATGATAGGTTTCTGGCGTGCCCAAGGGACGCAACTCTGCACAACGAATCGCGGCGCCTTAGACGACTGCCCCCCCCCCCCCCCCATGGCCCTATGAACAATTACCACTTTTTGTGAACCCCAGGAACATGGGTGGGGTGCGGACAAACCTATAGACACATCAGGGCGAACCGGCATCAAACCCATCACATAGATGACACAAAACTTATGTAGTATCTTTATCTATCAAAACAAGTTCATCATATATTGCTGACTCACTTGCCACCAGGAAATGGATACTGGTAGAATGTATGAAGGCTGTTGCCTCAGTAAACTGAGCTCTGTCTCTTCATCAACATCACAAGGTCTAAGGACCAGTTTAGTCACTGTCATCCTTACGTTTTTTTGACAAAGGAAAAAAAAGATGAATCAATTAATTTAGGAGTAAAAAATGTTTGTGGGATGAAAAAACGGTAGCTCTTCTGAAAATATATCAGAACTTGAGTTAAAAGTAGAATTTGCAATGAGAAATCTCTGGTTGGTTGGTTGACATATTAAACCCATTTCATATTGGGGACACAGGTCCCAGTACCACAATCTCTGAGTGCAAGTGGGCCATGGTCGGCATGATACGGTGGATATTTCCTAGGGAAGTATGGAAGCAGTTATAACAGTGACTGCTGGTTTAGAGGCATCATTTGGACATTGACAAAAGATCATAGACTCTGATCAGATGGACCTCTCACAAACAGAGGTCTGGCATATCTGAATTAATTTATCATGATTTTATGTTTGAGACAGCTTAGACATGCTTAGAGTTGGTTATTTGTGCGAGTTCTCAGCAAGACTATTAAGAGTGAGCTCCAGCAGGCAGTACAGTACAGGAGGAATACACCTCACTCAACTTCCGCTCAGGTTTGTCTCAAACCAATTATTTTTCACCTCAGTGTGCTGGCTGTTGATGACAATATCCCCAAGGACAAAGTTGAGTAGAGACGAGCGATTTGATGCCTTGTGGCAAGTAAAAACAAGAGCACCTGATCATGGGGTTCACTTTCAGTTGTAAATAACATAAGTCAAAATGTTCCTGGGAGTTGAGCTCATGACAAAGTACATCATGTCTCGAGAAAACTGGTTAGAACATTCTGTATCAACCAGAGCCGGTTGGCCACAAGGAATTAGGTTATAACATGCTATATCAACCATGGCCATACAACCACAACTCTGCAGCCATTGTGCCCACCTGATCCCCAATTCTGGCAGATTAGCCATGTGAAATTGGAGAGGAATTAAGATGACTGGAAAAATTTGAACAGCAGTACGATCTCAAACTCTTCTGACAAATAACCTTTGCATCTGTGAGGAGTCTGTGTGGCAAGGGAGATAATCCACCCACACAGGGCGATGAGCAGGCAGGTCTGATGATGGTGGTACAATTGTCTTGCTGCCATATTATATGTTCAACTCGGTAGAAAAGTGTCCCTTTATTACACATCACTCCGCCATAGCTTTATTGTTTTGTCATTTTCCAGCGCAGCTGATGCGATGATGTTTTCCGTTGGGTGGCAGGCACAACACAACACCACATCTGAAAACAACAAAATGAGTCAATACTTACAGAGCTCCAGATAAGCTGCGTATCTGCGTAAAATGCGCATCAGAAATGCAGAAATATGCAGTGAAATAAAATTCAAGCGTATCAAATACGCAACGAACATAAGAGACACGCTACAAAAATAAAACTGGTGCGTATCATCAAAATATTGTGAATTAACCCTGCGTATTCGATTAGCAAATCAAACTTATTTTGAAATTATATACGGACATTCCGTCAACCTTGCCAAACTCCACGATGACAGTTACATCATGATCATTTGCCATCACACTTTCTTGTGGAAGTATCACGGTATTTTCGAGTCCCATAAAGCTCTCGAACCAACACGACAACATCAGCTCTACAAATACTCATATCAACCCTACAAATACTCACATCAACCCTACAAATACTCACATCAACCCTACAAATACTCACATCAACCCTTCAAATACTCACATCAACCCTACAAATACTCACATCAACCCTACAGCTACTCACATCAACCCTTCAAATACTCACATCAACCCTACCCTACAGCTACTCACATCAACCCTACAATACCCTCACCTCATCTGCAGATGCATCAAACACTGATGCTTCACATGATGTTATCAAGGCCTGAGAAGTTTGTTTGGCACAAGGAGTAATCAGACCTCAAATTGAAACTCATTTCTATTTTGCTTAAGAAGTCCACCTCCAATTAACCAGAAAAACTCTGGCTAAACTTTGGAAGACAACAAAACAAAACATTCAAATGACACGCATGATGTCATCATGTTACTCACTGAATGCTCAAAACACTACATGAATCCTAGATACAGGAGGCAAAGAAAACCTCTTTCGACTCACAAATACACTCATGTTATTCACAGCTGCACAAACCACAAAAAATCCTATCACATCCAACAAGCCTAGAGACATCCTATCACATACCCTCAGCTGCGAAATACCCTATCACATCCACCAAGCCTCAAATTACCCTATCACATCCAACAAGCCTCAAATACCCTATCACATACCCTCAGCCTCGAAATACCCTATCACATCCACTAAGCCTCGAAATACCCTATCACATACCCTCAGACACGAAATACCCTATCACATCCACTAAGCCTCGAAATTCCCTATCGCATACCCTAAACCATGAAATTCCCTGTCACATACCCTAAGCCTCGAAATACCCTATCACATCCACTAAGCCTCGAAATTCCCTATCGCATACCCTAAACCATGAAATTCCCTGTCACATACCCTAAGCCTCGAAATACCCTATCACATCCACTAAGCCTCGAAATTCCCTATCGCATACCCTAAACCATGAAATTCCCTGTCACATACCCTAAGCCTCGAAATACCCTATCAAATCCACTAAGTCTAGAAAAGTCCCCATCACATCCACCAAGCCTCAAAATACAGCATTAGTTTCAGACCACTAGTCCTCAAATGATAACATATAGCCAAACCTGTCAAAATGGAAAATTGCTACTCGTCCTTATGATCCCTTAACTATTGGGTAGTTTGATGAGGACTATAGGACAAGTGCCAATTTCTAATGCTGAAATGCCCTATCACATCCTCCAAGCCTACAAATACTTGCATCAACCCTTCAAATACCCTCACGTCATCTGCAGATGCATCAAACTCTGATGCTTCACACGATGTTATCAAGGCCTGGGAAGTTTGTTTAGCACAAGGAGTAATCAGACCTCAAATTGAAACTCATTTCTGTTTTGTTTAAGAAGTCCACCTCCAATTAACCAGAAAAACTCTGGCTTAACTTTGGAAGACAACAAAACAAAACATTCAAATGACACGCATGATGTCATCATGTTACTCACTGAATGCTCAAAACACTACATTAATCCTTGATACAGGACGCAAAGAAAACCTCTTTCACCTCACAATTATACCCATGGTATTCACAGCTGCACCAAACCTCGAAACATCCCATCACATCCAACAAGCCTAGACACCCTATCACATACCCTCAGCCTCCAAATACCCTATCACATCCAACAAGCCTCAAAATACCCTATCAAATCCACTAAGTCTAGAAAAGTCCCCATCACATCCACCAAGCCTCAAAATACAGCATTAGAAACTAACCGTTTTAGACCACTAGTCCTTAAAACGATAACATATAGCCAAACCTGTAACAATGGCAAATTGCTACTCGTCCTTATGATACCTTAACTATTGGGTAGTTTGATGAGGACTGTAGGACAAGTGCCAATTTCTAATGCTGAAATGCCCTATCACATCCTCCAAGCCTACAAATACTTGCATCAACCCTACAATACCCTCACCTCATCTGCAGATGCATCAAACCCTGATGCTTCACACGATGTTATCAAGGCCTGGGAAGCCTGTTTGGCATAAGGAGTAATCAGACCTCAAATTGAAACTCATTTCTGCTTTGCTTAAGAAGTCCACCTCCAATTAACCAGAAAAACTCTGGCTAAACTTTGGAAGACAACAAAACAAAACATTCAAATGACACGCATGATGTCATCATGTTACTCACTGAATGCTCAAAACACTACTTTAATATCCTATAATATTTACTAAGCCTAGAAATACTGTAAATCTGAAATCATTTTGCACCATGAAATCATTGTGAGTGGCGAACCATAGCCATAACGGCATCTGGAAAGTTTTGCGAAGCCCTGTTAATGATATTAACAATGATCAAAGCTACTTTTGCAGGTATTATTTGTTATGAGTTGGAAGAGGCGTGATGAATAGGTTACTCAGTGTCAGTCAGTGTGTTTTAAAGTATAGATGCATGTATTGTTGTAGTGACAAGGCAGGTTGTAGTAGTGTGTTTATCTAGCAGATGTTTTATAAGGCTGGCATATATCTGGACTGCTCAGTGTTGTGTGAGCAGATTGACGAGATGGGGCAGGTTATCCCGTCTATACATGCCTCAAACCTTGATTGTTCTCAAAGAATCTTTACACGTTGTTATCAAGGCCTGGGAAGCTTGTTTGGCACAAGGAGTAATCAAACCTCAAATTGAAACTCATTTCTGCTTTGCTAATACCCCCATCTCATCCTCCAAGCTTAGAAATATTTGCATCAACCCTTCAAATACTTGCATCAACTCTAGAAATACCCCATCTCATCCTCCAAGTCTAGAAATACTCACATCAACCCTTCAAATACTCACATCAACTCTAGAAATACCCCATCTCATCCTCCAAGTCTAGAAATACTCACATCAACCCTTCAAATACTCACATCAACTCTAGAAATACCCCATCTCATCCTCCAAATCTAGAAATACTCACATCAACACTTCAAATACCCTCACCTCATCTGCACATGCATCCAACCCTGATGATTCTCAAAGATGCTTCACACGATATTATTAAGTCCAGGGAAGCATGTTTGGCACTAGGAGTAATCAGACCTCAAATTGAAACTCATTTCTGTTTTGTTTAAGAAGTCCACCTCCAATTAACCAGAAAAACTCTGGCTAAACTTTGGAAGACAACAAAACAAAACATTCAAATGACACGCATGATGTCATCATGTTACTCACTGAATGCTCAAAACACTTCATGAATCCTTGATACAGGACACAAAGAAAACCTCTTTCACCTCGCAAATACACTTATGTTATTCAAAGCTGCACCAAACCTCGAAACATTCTATTACATCCAACAAGCCTAGAGACACCCTATCACATACCCTCAGCTGCGAAATACCCTATCACATCCACCAAGCCTCAAAATACCCTATCACATCCACTAAGCCTCGAAATACCCTATCACATACCCTCAGCCGCGAAATTCCCTATCGCATCCACTAAGCCTCGAAAAACCCTATCACATACCCTCAGCCACGAAATACCCTATCACATCCACTAAGCCTTGAAATTCCCTATCGCATACCCTAAACCATGAAATTCCCTGTCACATACCCTAAGCCTCGAAATACCCTATCAAATCCACTAAGTCTAGAAAAGTCCCCATCACATCCACCAAGCCTCAAAATACAGCATTAGTTTCAGACCACTAGTCCTCAAATGATAACATATAGCCAAACCTGTCAAAATGGCAAATTGCTACTCGTCCTTATGATACCTTAACTATTGGGTAGTTTGATGAGGACTATAGGACAAGTGCCAATTTCTAATGCTGAAATACCCAATCTCATCCTCCAAGTCTAGAAATACTCACATCAACCCTTCAAATACCCTCACCTGATCTGCAGATGCATCAAACCCTGATGCTTCACACGATGTTATCAAGGCCTGAGAAGTTTGTTTGGCACAAGGAGTAATCAGACCTCAAATTGAAACTCATTTCTGTTTTGTTTAAGAAGTCCACCTCCAATTAACCAGAAAAACTCTGGCTAAACTTTGGAAGACAACAAAACAAAACATTCAAATGACACGCATGATGTCATCATGTTACTCACTGAATGCTCAAAACACTACATGAATCCTTGATACAGGAGGCAAAGAAAACCTCTTTCACCTCACAAATACACTCATGATATTCACAGCTGCACCAAACCCCGCAACATCCTATCACATCCACCTAGCCTAGAGACACCCTATCACATACCCTCAGCCGCGAAATACCCTATCACATCCACCAAGCCTCAAAATCCCTATAACATCCACTAAGCCTCGAAATACCCTATCACATACCCTAAGCCTCGAAATTCCCTGTCACATACCCTAAGCCTTGAAATACCCTATTAGAAACTAACAGTTTTAGACCACTAGTCCTTAAAATGATAACATATAGCCAAACCTGTAAAAGTGGCAAATTGCTACTCGTCCTTATGATACCTTAACTATTGAGTAGTTTGATGAGGACTATAAGACAAGTGCCAATTTCTAATGCTGAAATGCCCAATCTCATCCTCCAAGTCTAGAAATACTCACATCAACCCTTCAAATACCCTCACCTCATCTGCACATGCATCCAACCCTGATGCTTCACACGGTGTTATCAAGGCCTGGGAAGTTTGTTTGGCACAAGGAGTAATCAGACCTCAAATTGAAACTCATTTCTGTTTTGTTTAAGAAGTCCACCTCCAATTAACCAGAAAAACTCTGGCTAAACTTTGGAAGACAACAAAACAAAACATTCAAATGACACGCATGATGTCATCATCTTACTCACTGAATGCTCAAAACACTACATGAATCCTTGATACAGGAGGCAAAGAAAACCTCTTTCACCTCACAAATACACTCATGATATTCACAGCTGCACCAAACCTCGAAACATCAGTCAGGACATCATGTCCTGTTATACCCCTACCGTATGTTCCACAAAGTAGAGATGTTGCCATCATTGCCATGGTTACCTGTGTGTCCCTGGAGCTTCTGGACGATTTCTTTTGTCTGCAGATTCCAGATGTACACCATATTGTCTTCCGAGCCCGACACGATCCACTGGGGATTAGATAAACAACTGGTGAATATACACCTATACCACAGGTTATTATAAAGACATAGCACTAGGGCTGGGACATAGAGAATCTCACTCGTGTGTCTTTTGATATCAAATTTATCAACACGAGTTGATATCAAAAGACACAAGGGTGAGATTCTATTTATCATCCAACATCTTTCTTGCAACTCTTTCAGTTTGTAGACAGTAATAAGCAGTGTCTTAAGTGTAAAAAGTACTGCTAACAGCTTCAGTAGCAGTGCCATTAGTGATGTCATTTGATTGTGACGTCATGGTAACCAATGACGTCACAATGGTCTGCAAAGTATTGTGATGCAATTTCATTGCAGAGATATCTACAATGTAGATATCGCTTGATCTCACCCAAGCGATATCTCCTGTGGGAGCCAGTTTTGGATGATAAAATACACCAACTGTGCGATCCGATACGTATCACGATACCTTGTTCACGATCCGATACGTATCACGATACTTGTAGGTGCTCTTATCTGTGGTGTGTAAGCCATCTTTTTCATAGACAGGATAGTCAAATACCTGGCACACTGACGACTTACAACTGGCAGTGTCAAGTATGACGCAACGGATGAAACTATTTACGTTTTCACTACTAATTTTCACTACTAATTAGTGTTTGGTGAAACATTAAAGAATCCATTTAAGGTAAGATTCAATATTTTGTACTTAGTGTGCAACTAAGATCGATACTTGTATCAGGAAGCAAAATATCGCGATCCACCGAATGATCCACCCTTGAATGGCGCTCATAAGCATAGGTAAGAAACTCCTGACATCTAATTTTCCACATACCTTTCCCCCTGTTACTGAGAAGTTGGCAAATATACAGTACTTCTCGTTCTTATGACCGACGTATGTCTTTAGACACTGCAACAAAGTAAGAGATATCTGGATCAGACAGACACAAACTCGCTGACAGTCAGAACAAATTATACAGAATAAACCTTGAGTTGGACTATCATGAACACAACAGTAAAATCATCATTTTATTAAATAATTACAGGGGATGGAGACCACATTCAAAGAGCAGAACCCTAGCCCCACCTTTGAAAATTAAAAACACCATCAGAAAACAAATGACAACATTGTGGACTATAACACCTGTGATAACACTTTTTGTAACGTTTTCTGAGGTTTGGCGGGTCCAAAGTTGAATCTTTAGAAATTAATAAACAGAAATTTTCTGAGATCACATTTCATTTCTGGTGTCTTTATAAATATATACTACTGAAAATAAGTTTAAGATGTTTTTTTGAGTAGGGTGTGACATGCTAAATAACAAACATTTTTTACTGTCTTAATCATAACTTCAGGTTACTCAGCGGTAGAAACTAACAATTTTAGTCTACTAGTCCTTATAATGATAACATATAGCAAAACCCTTAAAAATGGCAAATTTCTACTAGTCCTTATGATACCTTAACTATTGGGCAGTTCGGCAAGGACCACAGGACTAGTGCCAATTTCTAATGTTGTTACTGTAATCATTCTTTCCCTATAAATGTGTCCTGAAGCACAAAATGAAAGAAAACGTTGTCCTTGACTGTTTACTAACCTTCCCTTTACTGTAGTCCCATAATTTTAATGTGCTGAAAGACAAAAGCTCACATTAAACATTGTCAGACAGCTATAATTTGATTGTTGTATATCACCGCATGCAGTAACAAGGTTTCAGATGGCCGTCAGTCGCCGGTCAAAGACCGATAAATTTTCAGCTTGACAGATGGTGTGTTTAATTGTCAGACTATTGATTGAAATGCTAAGTACGGCGTTGTGTGTTTCATAATTTCATGATTTTAAAAAGTAAATAGTAAGGATTAGCCCTACTTACAGTATTAGTTTAATAAAACAATGCACAGCCATCAAAAATCATAAATGAAATTCTGAGCAGTACGCGCGTCTTCGCATCATACTTTCTGTATCATTGGGAAATGCTGTCAGGGGCTATAATGACTTATCACAACATTCATTGGCCAGCAATATAGGAGTTGTATTGCATTGACTTGTTTATATGGTTTGTCTGCCATTTTTGTTTATTTGAGTCTTGACTTTTGCCATTGATTCATAACATTTCTTGGGTCCAGGCCATTGACCTATATACAGCTTTTTGTGTCAAAATCACTAAGTAATATTCAAGCTATGTGACGGCGGTCTGTAAATAATTGGGTATGGAACACGGAGTCCAGTGATTGGCATCAAGAGAACAGATCAACATATTACAATGACATCCATCAACAAAGTCTGTGAGCCCGACCACACGATCCCGCTACAAGTCTGGGTTGCAGAAACCAATTCTAACCGAGATCTTCACGAAGGGAGACAAGCATGTATTGCTGCAGACTATTTCTAACCGAGATCTTCACGAGGCGAGACAAGCATGTCTTGCTGCAGACTATTTCTAACCGAGATCTTCACGAGGGGAGACAAGCATGTCTTGCTGCAGACTATTTCTAACCGAGATCTTCACGAGGGGAGACAAGCATGTATTGCTGCAGACTATTTCTAACCGAGATCTTCACGAGGGGAGACAAGCATGTCTTGCTGCAGACTATTTCTAACCGAGATCTTCACGAGGGGAGACAAGCATGTCTTGCTGCAGACTATTTCTAACCGAGATCTTCACGAGGGGAGACAAGCATGTATTGCTGCAGACTATTTCTAAGCGAGATCTTCACGAGGGGAGACAAGCATGTCTTGCTGCAGACTATTTCTAACCGAGATCTTCACGAGGGGAGACAAGCATGTCTTGCTGCAGATTATTTCTAACCGAGATCTTCACAAGGGGAGACAAGCATGTATTGCTGCAGACTATTTCTAACCGAGATCTTCACAAGGGGAGACAAGCATGTCTTGCTGCAGACTATTTCTAACCGAGATCTTCACGAGGGGAGACAAGCATGTATTGCTGCAGACTATTTCTAACCGAGATCTTCACGAGGGGAGACAAGCATGTCTTGCTGCAGACTATTTCTAACCGAGATCTTCACGAGGGGAGACAAGCATGTCTTGCTGCAGACTATTTCTAACCGAGATCTTCACGAGGGGAGACAAGCATGTCTTGCTGCAGATTATTTCTAACCGAGATCTTCACGAGGGGAGACAAGCATGTATTGCTGCAGACTATTTCTAACCTGGATCTTCAAGGTGGAAGACAAGCACGTCTTGCTGCAGACAAATCTAACCGAGATCTTCACAAGGGGAGACAAGCATGTCTTGCTGCAGACAAATCTAACCCGGCCCTTCAGGGAGGATGTAAGAAACTCTGACCAGCAGATCCTGGTCACTAAGAGGCAAACTACGACACCTACTACTTACTTGTCAAGTGTAGCTGCAAGGATATATTTTCCATTCGGAGAAAACTTCACAAATGAGACCGGAGGATTATCATCATCTGTAAACAGAAAGATTACTGTGAAAAGCATTTCTGAAACAGTTTCTCAAATGTTATAGATTGAGTGAGGGAACATTGTCATGATTGTATTAAGCTACTGTTCGAACTTCACATTGAATGTTCCCACGGCATGAAACAGCCTGATCAACACTGACTTGGCTGGGATTAACGTGGGGTTGATGTGACCTCCAATGATTATGAGATCAATCACTGTCTAGGACTATGTCCCTTGCCCTGGAGGTTCAGCTTCTTATGAGTCAGATTTCTACACTTCTGTGGGTAATTCACACGGACTCAATCATCACATCCCTATCTTTTGTGCTGTTTTTTTTAAGGATTAGGTTAAGTTCAGTGAAGCCTTGGGGAACAGGAATTCGGCCCCGACTATATCTATAACTATGCTGTGGACAAAAATCGGACCTGTCTCGGTCCAGAACTACACTGTAAATCATTACACACTTCCTTATTGCCAGGCATTCGAGTGAACAAAGTCTCACCAGATATTCTCAGTCATATCAGAAGAATGTTCCCACGGCATGAAACAGCCTGATCAACAGTGACTTGGCTGGGATTAACGTGGGGTTCATGTGACCTCCAATGATTATGAGATCAATCACTGTCTAGGACTATGTCCCTTGCCCTGGAGGTTCAGCTTCTAATGAGTCAGATTTCTACACTTCTGTGGGTATTTCACATGGATTCAATCATCACATCCCTATCTTGGGTGCAGTTCTTATGAGGACTTGGACAAGTTCAATGAAACCTTGGGAACTTGAAATCGGTCCTAACTATATCTGTGTCTGCTCTACAGTCTAATGTCCGACCTGTTTTGGGGTATTTCACATGGATTCAACATCACATCCCTATCTTTGGGACAGTGTTTTAAGGACCTAGGTAAGTTGAAAACTTTAAAAGTTGAAATTGATTCCAACTGAACCTGTATCGGTGCTGTCCTCACCCAGCAGTAAATGGCTACCTGGCAGGATGAGATGGCAATGTGACTGCTAACCTCCTTGTTTCTTACATAAGGCACAGGGGAAGCCGGGTAGCCTAGTGGTTTAAGCATTTGCTCGTTACGCCGAAGACCCGGGTTCAAATTCCCAACATGTGTGAAGCCCATTTCTGGTGTTCCCCGCCATGATATTGCTGGAATATTACTAGAAGCGGCATAAAACCATACTCACTCACATAAGGCAGCATGGGTTGTATACTCCCCAGGGAGCTGAGAATACAATTCTGGTGCACACTGACCTGGGTAATAATTAGCACTTTGAACCCACTTTAGACATTCACATTATTATTATTATAGCCTAATATCCAAACTTCCTGAGGACCTATTCTGTCCCACTGTCATTGCCCCCAGCTGTTGATAATCAGTCTGAGAGCTTCGATTGTATATATATATATATGAGTACAAGTATATGTATAATGTTCCCACGGCATGAAACGGCCTGATCAACACTGACTTGGCTGGGATTAACGTGGGGTTGATGTGACCTCCAATGAATTTGAGATCAATCACTGTCTAGGACTATGTCCCTCGCCCTGGAGGTTCAGCTTCTAGCACAACACCGTCAGATCATGGCTAGTTTCATCCTAGTTTGTCAGTCCCAGGCATGCCATTTGTAGTTTTAAATGCTTTTAGCAATATCCCCGCAATATCACGGCAGGAGACACCAGAATGCGTAACACACATTGTGCCAAGCTCTGGCTTAGTATTGTCGCTGCAGGGAATCTGCAGAAAGGACTTCATGGATCTTGTATCTGATCAGTAATGTCTGAGCTGTTAATAATCAATCTAAGATTTGGTTGGTTTGTTGTTCATGCTGCACTCAGCAATATTCCAGGTTTACGGCGGCAGTATCACTCTAAGAGCTCCAATTTTATATATATATGAGTACAAGTAAATGGATAATGTTCCCACGGCATGAAACAGCCTGATCAACAGTGACTTGGCTGGGATTAACGTGGGGTTGATGTGACCTCCAATGATTATGAGATCAATCACTGTCTAGGACTATGTCCCTTGCCCTGGAGGTTCAGCTTTGTGTGTGGGGAGCATATCTAATACTCTCGACTAAAATAGTCATTGTTAGTTGTGAATAAATACACCACTTCACACAACGACCACACAGTCAAATCTAAAAGTGTCATTTTTTCAACAAGGTGAGTTGAAATGGGGTTTAACATCGCGCCCGAGATTATAGCAATGTGCATAAACGTACTTGTGTCTGCTTGTACTTGTCTGGACTAATGCTGATTTGATAGTGCTAGCCCATTGAGATACCATGGCACAGTTCAACATGAATACCCTACCTTATCACAGAATACCGACTCCGATCGAACCCCGGACCTTCTGTTCTCTGGGTGGATGCCCTACCACAAGACCATGGAAGCGGTCTTTTTTTTCAAACTTTTTTTCACTAAACAAAACCCTGTAATGCTACTTTATGGAAATAGACAGCATGAAAGAAACAAACCCATTTTCAATTGTTGTGTTTTTTAGTGTGGTGCCATCCCTAACCTATTTAAATAGTGTAATAAGTGTGCTACTATGGTTTCAGAATTAGTCATCATTTTTTGCTCCAAAGGAATAGAAAATGCTGTCCAGCAGGGTTGTTTGTTTTCAACCCTTATTTAGACTTGGCCTCTACCAGTAAAGTAAACTTAGCATTAAGATGATGTTACAGAATACAATTTCACTGTTGTTACAATCTTTACATGTGAGTGAGTGAGTGAGTGAGTGAGTGAGTGAGTGAGTGAGTGAGTGAGTTGAACAGTATTCCAGTTATATCACGGCGTGTCAGCCTAATATGTGAGGAAAGCCTGTAGTGATGCAGGTCTCCAGACATCTATCATTTGGTGAAACCCACGAGCACGGGTATGGTGCTGACAAACCTAGAGACATAATCGGGGCAAACCAGGATTTGAAGCCACAATCATAGGCGTCTGGCATGCCCAAGGGACGCAACTCTGCACAGTAAATAGTTGCACCTGAGACGACACGGCCAACCATGCCCCCATTTTTGATGTATTGGCCCAGAGACCAGGTATTATCCACCTGTAGATCGACAATGTCCCCAGGCATAAAACAGCCTGAACTTCATTGCCTTACTACTACCTCTACAACCATCCACTGGCAGGTCTAATTTTACACTCCATACTGAATGTTCCCACGGCATGAAACAGCCTTATCAACATTGAATTGGCTGGGATTAACGTGGGGTTGATGTGACCTCCAATGATTATGAGATCAATCACTGTCTAGGACTATGTCCCTTGCCCTGGAGGTTCAGTTGAAACACTGCATAAGAACAACCACATTAAAATTGTTTTCAATAACAGTCGGACTGATACTGTTTAGGGGTGATTATTGGTCTTGAAATCACTTTTGCGATAACTATTGATATTACAAGCAACTATTGTGATAAATATCGATAGTTTTCAGTGTATCATTTTTGATGGATTTTGGAGTTGAATTAAACCTTAGAACTGACGTTTCCTTTGAATGTGATAACCATAACAAATAAAAAGTAAAGCTTGAGATATGACTGATTTGTTTTTTCTTTACCCTAATAATTTTAGAAAAAGAAACTTCCACATTACCATGTGTAAATTACTACCACTCATGATCAAAAGAAATACAAATTTGAACAGCATTGCATGCATTTTATTGATATGGTAAATACAATCGAAACTATCGATATTCCTAACTGAAATCGATACTATTGATCAGACATTGATTAAACAATCAATTTATTGACTTTTTAAGTGCTTACCAATAGCAATATATTGATATTTCAATTTATTGTGACACCCATCATACTGTTAAACAAGTGCTGTTGGAGTTTGTCATGTTTGATAATGTCCCCTCCGAAAAGCCATGACCTATACAGAGAGATCACTGTCTCTTCTTAACTATAGTTGGTTGGTTGGTTGGTTTGTTGTTTAACGTCGCACTCAGCAATATTCCAGCTATATGACGGCAGTCTGTAAATAATCAAGTTGATCGACCACCCGATCCCGTAAGTCGCCTTTTACGACAAGCATAGTCGCCTTTTACGGTGAGCATGGGTTGCTGAAGATTTATTCTACCCCGGATCTTCACAGGATTCTTAACTATAGCGAGCACCCAAGCATAATGTGCAACACCCTCTACCAGAACTCCAGATAACTTTTTGAGCAATTGAGTTTTTACTCTAGGGTTTCTATTTAAATTGGGTTATAACATTTTTCACTGGGTAACCAATATTTTTTCACTCATCTATTCATGAGATTTCAAAAAATTAAAAAAAGTTTTATAAATAATGTTTTTTTATGTACATAAGCATAGTCACCTTTTACAGCAAGTATGGGTTGCTGAAGACCGTAATAACTATATATTAAGTACTGTATTCGACGTAATAAGTGCCCCGCTCTAATAAGCGCGAACGGCGATATTTGCTAATATATTGACTAGTGAACAATCCCAATTAGCACCCCTTCCAATTGATCAATGTACACAGGACTTATTTATTTGTGTATAATAGGTATGTTATATGCATTCTTAATTATGGGAAATTAAATTCTGGAAAAAATATATCTGTCGTATATAAACATTTCAGGCTGTCAGCATAAACCACGAAATTTACGATCTTTCAATTCTGTTGTTTTTCACCAAAATAATATTCTAATAAGAGCCCTATTATGTCGAATACGGTATGTAAGATGGACTGGGACATTATAATTTGAACTTTGGGATTGTTTACATTTATCAAGTCTTTGGTACAATGAGCTCACTCTCAAATTGGTTTACACCACCCCATCGCTGTAACCTCCAAGTTGAGAAAATGTATAGTTGTGATCAAATAAAGCCCCTGTGTAATTTCTAGGCAATACAACATCACATAGATAGGGGGCTGCTCAGAAACAATAGAAACATAACCGTCCGTGAGTGAGTGAGTGAGTGAGTGAGTGAGTGAGTGAGTGAGTGAGTGAGTGAGTGAGTGAGTGAGTGAGTGAGTGAGTGAGTGAGTGAGTGAGTGATTTTTATGCCGCTTTTAGCAATATTCCAGCAATATCACGGCAGGGACGGCAGGGACAGCAGAAATGGGCAGCACACATTGTACCCATGTCGGGTCAAACCTGCGTCTTAAGAGTGACGAGCGGACGCTTTAACCACTAGGCTACCTGACCGCCCCTACATAGACTCTGAAACACACACACATCTAAAATAGGCAAAATAACAGAATGTCTTACCTATCAATGTTTTCAAACACTGGCCAGACGCTGTGTCCCAAATACGACTGGAATGTAAAGACAATGGTCAGATGTGAAGGCTATGGAAAAAGTCACAGCGAATCGTGGCACCTTGGACAATTGGGCCAACCATGCCTCTGGATGTTGGTTCAAATAACTACGGTATGATGAGTACAATTTGTTTCAGCTGTGTTAGATGAGATTATAAACTGCTAAATGGTGTCAAGTTCATTTAACCAAAAAAGTGCCACAGTACTGTAGTTCACCTGGTTATAAAGTTACAGTATAAAACGTCAAAGAGTCGTATTTAAATTGCTGCCAGAGGAGTTAAAAAAGTTCAATGAGAAATAGATCCTTTATTTTTGTTTAAGGTTTGAACACACAATGCCATTTAGAAAGTGGTCAAATGTAACAAATGTTATATTTGGGATAACACTTTCTGAGTAAAGTACAGATTCTCGTACTTATTTGGGGGTTGAGTCCTGTCCGGGATTCGAACCCACACTGCCAGAGTGAGGCACCTAATCGCCAGGTCACAAAGTCAGCAATCCAATACACTCAGCCACCGAGGCTTCCACAAAAATGAAAGTCCGACAACTGGTAGTCTAGATCACGTACTTTGTGTACCCCTCTGACATGTGTAAATTGGCACGGCTCCCATGGCTGAAAGCTATGAACACACAATGCCATTTAGAAAGTGGTCTTTCTGAGTAAAATACAGATTCTCATACTTTTTTTGTGGTTGAGTCCCTTCCGGACTGTGACTAGAAACTGTGATGTGACCAAAACATTATCCTTTGTCTAATATTTGTTTATTTGTTGTTTAACGCCGCAGTCAGCAATATTCCAGCTACATGACGGCGGCCTGTAAATAATGGAATCTGGACCAGAGTGAGTGAGTATGGTTTTACGCCGCTTTTAGCAATATTCCAGCAAATCACGTCGGGGGACACCAGAAATGGGCTTCACACTTTGTACCTATGTCGGGAATCGAACCCGGGTCTTCGGCGTGACGAGCGAACGCTTTAACCACTAGGCTACCCAACCGCCCCGAATCTGGACCAGACAATCCAGTGATTGACATCATGAGCATCGTCGCCTTTTACGGTAAAGCATGGGTTGCTGAAGACCTATTCTATACCGGATCTTCTCAGGTGAATTTTGAGTATTAAACTGTTGGGTACTTTTCGCACAGTATCCCTTTGTAAGTTCTTGACACGGTAACATGGGCTATAAGGTGGGTAGAACATGTCTCCCCATAACATGTCGTAACTACTTCACACAATAAGGAGGGGAACACTTCTTACCATAACCCGTCGTAACTACTTGACACTATAAGGGAGCCATCTCTGTTGAAATGAACCTGAAAAGGAAATCGACATGGTTACTTAACATAACAAACATTTGTGAATATGAATACATCCTAAAGATTATTTTGCAACTTGGAATGATAGAGGACCATCACAAATTGCCAAAATCATGAAGGTGTTCTAGAATGTCCAAATGCACTAAATATCCATCTTCCCGAGGCAAGGGAGTTAACTGACTTTAAAAGTCCAGTTTCCACCCTTGCCGAACTAGGCTGGAATTCCTGGGCTCGATCGTAGCGCCACCAGTGGCTATTACGAGTTATGTCCCTTCTATGCCTCTCCTATGGACCAATCAGATTCCACCTCTAGTATCACTTGCATTTGTTTCAAACAAAACGGTGGCGCTCAGTCAAGACGATCTGATCGATTATCAAGATCTATATTGTGATAAACGAGTCTTACATCGCGAAGTGCATCAAATCACGTGACAGCCTTGATTAAAAGCATGAAAAGATTTAGAAAATATCTGTTGACAACGAGCTAGCTGTGCACATGCTTTGCAAATCCTGCATTCGACCGAAATCTGCACGACACTTTACGAACCGGATTTCGATGCGCGATTTTGATTGGACTATGCATAGACTCGTTAGTCCAACCGAAATCTAACTTCATAATACCAGCCTAGTTCGGCAAGGGAGGAAACTGGACTTTAGTCAGTTAACTCTCTTGCCTCGGGAAGATGCTAAATATCTAGCCAACTTTGATACTTTATTCCAGAGGGCAGTGAAGCAATGAAGTACTTACAGCAGTGACAGGATCTGAATGTGCAGGTAATGTTTTTAAACATTTGCCGGTCTTGACATCCCATATCCTCACACTCTCGTCAAACTGAAACACAGATATACAGCTTTAGGCCTTCATGTAACAGTTTTGTTATATACTGAAGTGATATACTATATCACATATTACTAATTAGCACCTAAATTTACTGAAAATGAAAGATAAGTTCAGGGTAAGAGACTCAAATGTTTTGGGACGGGCTGTTTTACTGTCAGTACATGATAATGTGAGATCAATGCTGTCGAGGCATGATGACTAAATCAACCAGAGATGCCAATCCTAAATGAAGCTTTACATTAATCAGTGGGGGCGGTCGGGTAGCCTGGAGGTTTAAGCGTTCATTCGTCACGCCAAAGACCTGGGTTTGATTCCAGACATGGGTACAATGTGCGAAGCCCATTTCTGGTGTCCCCCCGTCGTGATATTGCTGGTATATCGCCAAAAGTGGCGTAATAAATGATGACCATTCCACAGTTTTCGTAGGGTGAAAAAAGGATTGACACAGATCACTGAGCCATCATGCCCCAACTGAGTCATCATGCCCCAAACTGGGCGCCACAGACCACTGAGCCATCATGCCCCAACTGGGCGCCACAGACCACTGAGCAATTATGCCCCAACTGGGTGCCACAGACCACTGAGTCATTATGCCCCCAACTGGGTGCCACAGACCACTGAGCCATTATGCCCCCAACTGGGCACCACAGACCACTGAGCCATTATGCCCCAACTGGGTGCCACAGACCACTGAGTCATCATGCCCCAACTGGGTGCCACAGACCACTGAGCCATCATGCCCCAACCTGGCGCCACAGACCACTGAGCAATCATGCCCCAACTGCGCCACAGACCACTGAGCCATTATACCCCAACTGAGTCATCATTCCAAAACTGAGTCATCATGCCCCAAACTGGGCGCCACAGACCACTGAGCCATCATGCCCCCAACTGAGCTCCACAGACCACTGAGCCATCATGTCCCCAACTGGGCACCACAGACCACTGAGCCATTATGCCCCAACTGGGTGCCACAGACCACTGAGCCATCATGCCCCAACTGGGTGCCACAGACCACTGAGCCATTATGCCCCCAACTGGGTGCCACAGACCACTGAGCCATTATGCCCCCAACTGGGCACCACAGACCACTGAGCCATTATGCCCCAACTGGGTGCCACAGACCACTGAGTCATCATGCCCCAACTGGGTGCCACAGACCACTTAGCCATCATGCCCCAACTGGGTGCCACAGACCACTGAGCCATCATGCCCCCAACTGGGCACCACAGACCAGTGAGCCATCATGCCCCAACTGGGCGCCACAGACCACTGAGCAATTATGCCCCAACTGGGTGCCACAGACCACTGAGTCATTATGCCCCCAACTGGGTGCCACAGACTACTTAGCCATCATGCCCCAACTGGGTGCCACAGACCACTGAGCCATTATGCCCCAACTGGGCGCCACAGACCACTTAGCCATCATGCCCCAACTGGGTGCCACAGACTACTGAGCCATTATGCCCCCAACTGGGTGCCACAGACCACTGAGCCATTATGCCCCCAACTGGGCACCACAGACCACTGAGCCATTATGCCCCAACTGGGTGCCACAGACCACTGAGTCATCATGCCCCAACTGGGTGCCACAGACCACTGAGCCATCATGCCCCAACCTGGCGCCACAGACCACTGAGCAATCATGCCCCAACTGCGCCACAGACCACTGAGCCATTATACCCCAACTGAGTCATCATTCCAAAACTGAGTCATCATGCCCCAAACTGGGCGCCACAGACCACTGAGCCATCATGCCCCCAACTGAGCTCCACAGACCACTGAGCCATCATGTCCCCAACTGGGCACCACAGACCACTGAGCCATTATGCCCCAACTGGGTGCCACAGACCACTGAGCCATCATGCCCCAACTGGGTGCCACAGACCACTGAGCCATTATGCCCCCAACTGGGTGCCACAGACCACTGAGCCATTATGCCCCCAACTGGGCACCACAGACCACTGAGCCATTATGCCCCAACTGGGTGCCACAGACCACTGAGTCATCATGCCCCAACTGGGTGCCACAGACCACTTAGCCATCATGCCCCAACTGGGTCACAGACCACTGAGCCATCATGCCCCCAACTGGGCACCACAGACCAGTGAGCCATCATGCCCCCAACTGAGCTCCACAGACCACTGAGCCATCATGCCCCAACTGGGCACCACAGACCAGTGAGCCATCATGCCCCCAACTGGGCACCACAGACCACTGAGCCATCATGCCCCAACTGGGCGCCACAGACCACTGAGCCATCATGCCCCCAACTGAGCTCCACAGACCACTGAGCCATCATGTCCCCAACTGGGTGCCACAGACCACTTAGCCATCATGCCCCAACTGGGTGCCACAGACTACTGAGCCATTATGCCCCCAACTGGGTGCCACAGACCACTGAGCCATTATGCCCCCAACTGGGCACCACAGACCACTTAGCCATTATGCCCCAACTGGGTGCCACAGACCACTGAGTCATCATGCCCCAACTGGGTGCCACAGACCACTGAGCCATCATGCCCCAACTGGGCACCACAGACCAGTGAGCCATCATGCCCCAACTGGGCGCCACAGACCACTGAGCCATCATGCCCCCAACTGGGCACCACAGACCACTGAGTCATCATGCCCCAACTGGGCGCCACAGACCACTGAGTCATCATGCCCAAACTGGGTGCCACAGACCACTGAGCCATCATGTTCCCAACTGAATACCACATACCACAGGGCACCACAGACCACCGAGTCATCATGCCCCCAACTGAGGGCCACAGACCACTGAGCCATCATGCCCAAACTGGGCACCACAGACCACTGAGCCATCATGCCCCAACTGGGTGCCACAGACCACTGAGTCATCATGCCCAAACTGGGTGCCACAGACCACTGAGCCATCATGTTCCCAACTGAATACCACATACCACAGGGCACCACAGACCACCGAGTCATCATGCCCCCAACTGAGGGCCACAGACCACTGAGCCATCATGCCCCAACTGGGCACCACAGACCACTGAGCCATCATGCCCCAACTGGGCACCACAGACCACTGACTCATCATGCCCCAACTGGGTGCCACAGACCACTGAGCCATTATGCCCCAACTGGGTGCCACAGACCAGTGAGCCATCATGTTCCCAACTGAATACCACATACCACAGGGCACCACAGACCACCGAGACATCATGCCCCTAACTGAGGGCCACAGACCACTGAGTCATCATGCAGCCAGGGAGATACATGTTCAGAATTTAATCCTGGGGCATATATGAAAACCAAACATAACCACTGGAAGCATCTTCTGAACTCACTACAGCATGTGTCACAGAAACGTGCCATTTATTTCTCGTGTTGGGAACCCTGAACATGTTGGTTGTTGGTTTGTTCTTTTATGCTGCACTCAGCAATATTCCAGCTATATGACGGCAGTCTGTAAATAATCAAGTCTGGACCAGATAATCCAGTGATTAATATCATGAGCATCGAGCCACGCAATTGGGATCGATGACATGCATCAACCAAGTCAGCGAGCCTGACCACCCGATCCCGTTAGTCGCCTTTTACGACAAGCATAGTCGCCTATTACCTGAACATGTAGTGATGTAATACAAGATTACTTGTAACTAATACTGGCTAATAAGTGTCACTGAATTGGATGATACTCACGGATCCTGAAACAATCAGATTAGACTGGGGATTGAAGTTGCAGCAGAATACGTAGTTACTGTGTCCTTTCAAAGTCTTCAAACTTTTGCCCTTCACAAATAACAAAACAGGTTGTATTATATAAAAAAAATATTTACAATCTCTTACAATCTGATCTTTTAATCTGATATGATACCTCTCAATGTGAAGATCTGAGGACATCCAAATCAGAGGTTCAGAGCTACAGATAAGCTGCATAAAATACCAAAAAAAATATTCAAAACCCTATTACTTATAATTAACTTGCGCACAAAAACGCATGCATTAAATGAAAACTCAAAAGTATAAAAACAGCACACATAAATACTTAATGAAGCTTTTCAGCATGCGTACAAAGGTGCTAATTTCCAAAACAATTACGAGCTAATTTACTTTCCGAGTCAAGCCTATATATTTAGAACAGTTATCATGGTTATGTACATCTAAAACATTATTTCATTTTTTTTAAATCCTAAAATGATCACTCTTTTGGGGAAATACCCAATAGAGTGATGAATAGATGAGTGAAAAGATATTGGTAACACAATGAAAAATGAAATAACTCAATTAAAATAGAAACCATAGAGTAAAAACTCAATTGCTCAAAAGGTTATCTGGACCTCTGGAGGTTGTGTCAGGTGAACCTTGTAATCAGACAATCTAAATTATTGGAGCCCAGCATTCAGACAAACACATCTGATTTCTGCATCTTGAAAATGAATATAATCAAGGAAATCTGAATGCGAAACGGTAATGATACACTTTTATATGGCTGTGGATATTTCTACACCCCACTGTTTGTGAGCATTACAGCATCTACATGTGTATAAGTGTGTATAAGTATCAAAAGTATGTTTTGTAGCGGTTTTCTGTGGCAGAGATTGAAAATTCACAATCGACGTAGTAAAGAAATCACCCTGAACTATTTTAGAAAGATGACATCTGATTGGTTCAAGAACCCATGCATCCTTCATTTTGATTGGGCAGTCAAAGTTTGGGTTCACCTGCTGTGACCTTTGGAGGTGTCCTCAGATCTTGATGCAGAGAGGTATTGTATTGGAGTATAAGATCTGATTTTAATGAGACTGAAACACGATGAACATCATACTTTAACCACATGCTGATATTTGAAGCAGCGTTAGAAATTGGCACTAGTCCTGTAGTCCTTGCCAAGCTACCCAAAAGTTGAGGTATCATAAAGACCAGTAGAAATTTGCTATTTTGAAGGGTTTTGCAATATGTTATCATTGTAAGGACTAGTGGACTAAAAGTGTTTATGTCTACCCCTGTTGAAGTATCAAAGACATTCACAATGACTCAACTCAACCAGGTCAGAAACTGTTACTACCTGATCCTACATACTGTATTCGCCGTATTAAGTATCCTGCTCGAATAAGCACCCCTGACCTTCTTCTAAACCATTTGTACACCAATCTATAAGGAATTTTTATAAGCGCCCCAACTAAGACTGGAAATTTAAATAACGGCCTATATTTTCTTGTGTATATTAAATTTTGTACAGAAAACTGCAGTGGAATCCAGAAAAATAACTGCCTAGTAACTATATTATCAAAAGTATTTCAGTTTCAACACAACTGAAGTTTTTTCACTTCTGTTTGAAAACAATTTACCTTTTTAGTATGGTTTTATATGTGCTTATTTGATGTCCATATGAGAACCCATATCTCTTATTACATGGACAATGAACTCACTGTGGCAAAGTCCCAGATTTTGAGAGTCTTGTCGTCGGAAGCACTGACAAGAAGTCGACTGTCTGTAGACCAGGATACATCTGATATACCCTGAAACAAGAAGTGTTTGGTTAAACTGTACTGATGCAATGGCCTGTGTATGTTAATCAAACTGACAGTAATCCCAAGATCAATTGTTGAAAAATAGAATGGCACTTGTGTTTTTCACAGTGAATGTCCGAGTTAATATCAGATGATGTGTTACCCGAGAGGTCCTGGTATCCAGTGTCCACATCCTCCATCTTCCAGGGGTCGTATAGCTTTATTCAATTTTGACAAAAACCCAGGAATCATTTGCTACCATTATTTTGTTTGGAAGTGACGTCACTATCACCATCCCTCTTATCTCATAACAGCAGGGATTGATCTAGGATTCTAAAGTAAGTGACGTGGGCAGGCAAACTGAGAGAGAGAGGGGAGGGGGAGGGGAGAAAGAAAGAGAGGGAGGGAAGAGAGAAACTGATCAAAATAGGGATTTTCTTAAAGTTCTTATTTTCCCAAATTCGGAGGTATTTTAGTTTAATTATATCCATATTAACATGAATTGGGACGTCCTTAATTATTCCAATTCAGAAAGTTGTACTATCACTTGCTGTATTTGGGACTGACCATCAGCCTCCTGGCAGGTCTAGATAAACCCCTGCCATCAGAGCACAGGATTTCACTCAGGGGTCTACATTGATGGCACAGTAGTCTGTCTTACAGACCCTAATACAAATATATATCAAATACAGCCCATGCAAGTCTATAATGTTTGGCAAGTCTAGATCACTGCAGTATCACTGGGCTCCTTTTTATTATATTTTTATTAAGATAACTGAACAACTGATACAAAAATTTATCAAATACAGCCCATGCTAGTCTGTAATGTTTGGCAAGTCTAGATCACTGCAGTGTATCACTAGGCTCCTTTTTATTATATTTTTATTAAGATAACTGAACTGGTTTTTTTCTGTATGATACTTTCATTTCAGAGACTAGATGTTAGTCTAATGGCACAGCTCTTTTGAGTTTTTAGCGCTGTCTCCTCTGAACTGGGCTCAAACACAAAACTATTGTTGTGAGAGTGAGTGAGTGAGTTGGGTTTAACACCGCTTTTAACATTATTTCAGTCATATCGCGGCATGTCAGCTTAATGTGGGAGGAAAGCCCGAAGTGATGCAGGTTTCAGACATTTACCACTTCGGTGAAACCCACGAGCATGGGTATGGTGCTGACAAACCTAGAAACATAATTGGGGCGAACGGGGATTTGAACCCACAATGATAGGTTTCTGGCGTGCCCAAGGGACGCAACTCTGCACAGCGAATCGCAGCGCCTTAAACGACTGGGCCACCCGTTCCCCCTATTGTGGTGAGAGGGTCCAGGGTATTTATCATAATAGTATGGAGGCATAAAACACTGGATAATTGAGGTTGGTATCTCTAATAAAGATGAGCTTTGAATTAACCCTCCACTGACGAAAGACCAATTGATGTTCTTCAACATGAAAAGGCATTCTGATAAGTTCTGATAAGTGCACTACAATGCGCCAGTCATTATTAACCTCATTACCTTATCATAAACAGTTGAAGCACTAAAGTAGCTTGTGAAGCTTTAGAGATAAGAATAAGAAAACTCACCAATTTGTGACCGCTAATTGTTTTCTCAAATTTGCCATCATAAGCACCCCAAATCTTTATTAATTTGTCTGCAGCTGAAACATGAAATGGGCAGTTTCAATCAATTTCCACACTTACTTACTTACACCTGCTGAAACACTTTCATGAACCACTTTAGATATTTCGGAGGCACTAATTTCAACAATATCAATTTTTTCAAATAATGGGCAAGCTAAGAATTATGCAAGCTATACAAACTCACCACAAGGAAACAATTCACTCTTATCCCCTTTGGGTGTTTGTGTTGGTTTTTTTACACTGCTTTGAACGATATTCCATTTACATCACGGCATGTCAAGTTAATGTGGGAGGAAAGCCTGAAGTGAAGCAGAGCTCAGATTTTTACCACTATTGAAACCCACAAGAATTGATATGGTGCTGACAGGCCCAAGAAATACCACTGGGACAAACCGGGATTCGAAGCCACAATCATAGGTTTCTAGCTAGCCCAAGCGATCAAATCAGCACGGCAAATAGCAAAGCCACAACTGGACCCCCCATGACCTCCCATACCCTTTGGACTTTCACGAGTTTCAGAAGAGTGTGTTAACTTTTGTTTGTTTGTTGTTTAACGCCGCACTCTGCAATATTCCAGCAATATGACGGCGGTCTGCAACTAATTGAGTCTGAACCAGACAATCCAGTGATTGACATCATGAGCATCAATCCACACAATTGGGATACAATGGCACGCATCAACCAAATCAGCGAGCCTGACCACCCGATACCATAATTCACCTCTTACAACAAGCATAGTCGCCTTTTACGGCAAACATAGGGTAGCTGGAAGCCCATTCTAACCTGGATCTTCACAAGTTAGTGGGGTGCCATGGCCAAAACCAATACAGTATTATCATCATGATCATGGCCACAAATAACCAATAGAATCCAAGCAATGTGAACCAGTGGTTGATGTGACGAGCATCTCACCTGGGTGAAGTGACACACCATCACAAAGGTCACATAATGACCTGATCCTACTTTTATTCTGCTCATAAGAAGTGCATTGGGGACTGGGGACCTGTTCTGACATGGAACCAAAGGGGATGCTTAAATTGATATTTACCAAGTGCAGTGATACTTACATGAGCTTGCCAGCCATTCACCATTAGGACTAAACTTCACTGATGAAACAGCCTTTGTGTGCCCGGCAAGTGTGAATTTGAGAGTGTAATTGGGTTTCTGGAAGGAAACACATCATGAATATTATTCAGTTTGTACAAATGTAAAATAAATACAAACTTTTGCATTAGAATGAAAAAATGTATTTCTTGTATCTTGCAATGCTGTAACGAGATGACTTCGCCATCAAAATTTGATACCTTGCAGAAGGAATCACTTCTCACCATCCACTGATGTAACTTGTCAAAGTAAGCCAGTGAGTCAAAATTTAACTTCACATCAGCAATATCTCAGCCATGTAGCAATTAATTGTCAAAGTATTTCACAAGATTAGGATTATGGTCATGGTCAGAGTTTCATCATATGAGTGAGTGAGTTGTGTTTAATGCTGCTTTTAACAATATTCCAGTTATATCGCGGCATGTCGGCTTAATGTGGGTGGAAAGCCCGAAGTGATGCAGGTCTCGGACGTTAACCACTTCGGTGAAACCCACAAGCACAGGTATGGTGCTGACAAACCTAGAAACATAATCCGGGCGAACCGTTCATCATATGAAAGGAGGACAACTCTGTAACATACAAGAGGAGTTGATGAAGGTTTTGATGTTACTGTTGCAGTGCTGCCTTGACTTAGACTTGATGATGATGTGGTTGTAGCTGGTGTGGTCAGCGACGGCTTTGTGTCTCCGTCCCCACTCTTCAGGCCTGCATTCTCATCAGCCGACATTTTGACAATAAATTACCTGTCAATGCAACAAAGGTAAAGGTGAGGCTGTGTGAGTGAATGATTCCCAGGCATTAAAATAGGAAACCCACAGTGAACAGTGTACCAACAGCAAATACCATACATGCTTATATCAGGAGGGGGTTTACTTCTTGGCAACTCAGACATGGACAATCTGAATATTAATGTTTTTTCTTGTCAGAAGAGAAGTAGTTAAATTATCTGAGAAATGTTTTCATTTCAAATCATACACTTTTGCTTCCAGGGGGACTTGAAGTGGATATAATTTGCGTCAATTATTAATGTTTAAGTATAGCCTTCAATATTGTGTGTCATAGCTGCCAACATAAACATATGTCAGTCAGATTGTATTTCAGCATGGGTCACATAGACTCTGATAGGGCCACTAGGGGTGTGCATAAAGGATTTAACCATTTTGAGATGTATTTTAGAGCATCTCTGGTTGACTTTTATAACAAACAAGCTTGGGGTAAACAGACTATGGATCACATTCACAATCGAGGGTGAATCGGGGATTTGAACCCATGAAAGCAGCAGACACAAATCTTGTTCACATCTACTTGTTCGGAGTTGAAACCTTCCTGTTGAACTTAATACACAATACATTTCTGCTTGTGATTTGATGGTACTTCGAGAGTCTTCAACTCTTTCCATGCCTTGGTTGGTTGGTCGGTTGGTTGGTTGGTTTGTTGTTTAATGCTGCACTCAGCAATATTCCAGCTATATGACGGCGGTCTGTAAATAATCGAGTCTGGACCAGACAATCCAGTGATTGATATCATGAACATCAATCCACGCATTTGGGATCGATGACATGCATCAACCAAGTCAGCGAGCCTAACCACCCGATCCCATTAGTCGCCTCTTACGACAAGCATAGTTGCCTTTTACGGCAAGCATGGGTTGCTGAAGGCCTATTCTACCCCGGACCTTTACGGGTCTGCATGCCTTGGACATCAAGAATAAACACTGTATAAAGTACTACTATTCACATCATAGAAGGTTCGGTCAACTCCAGAATAACATGTTGGATCACATTGAGATGAACATGTGAATAATGTTATCTGTTCAAATCTCAGTGCACCCACATTTCATTTTAGCCTCTAGAGAATTCTTAACTTTTAAATAATACAACGAAAATGCAAAACTCTACTTATCCAACAGTTTAACATAGTAATCAATCATAGCATGGTATTACTGATTCTCTCAATCATAACCTTACATTGTGCTATGAACAATGGAACACTTATGCACAGAGCTTCAGATAAGCTGCGTATTTGCGTAAAATACTCCCCCAAAATATTCAAAACCCAATTACTTTCAATTAACTTGCATACAGAAACACATGCATTAAATGAAAAACTCAAATTATAAAAACAGCACGCGTAAATACCCAATTAAGCTTTTTCAGCATGTGTACAACGGAGCTAATTTCTGGAACACAATTACAAGCTAATTTTTCTTTCCGAGGCACCAAATATATTTAGAACAGTTATATACATCTATTCATTTAATTTTTTGAAATCTTCTATTGTTCTCTAATTTTGGGAAAAACCCAATAGAGTGATGAAGAGATGAGTGAAAAAATATTGGTTACCCAATGAAAAATGCAATAACCTAATAAAGATAGATACCCTAGACTAAGAGTAAAAACTTAATTGCTCAAAAGGTTATCTGGAGCTCTGTATGCATACTATTGAATTGAACATCCTCAAATGCTATTCAATTGAAACTAAAGGATTCTGTCTATTCATGGATTTCTTTTCAAAAGGAACATTATTCACAAATGATTGTCAAAATATCAACAAAATTAATTGTTGCTCATATGGCTAAAATATTGCTGTCAAATTTAATTTTTACTCACTATATATATATCCTTTGAAGTAACTTTACAATATCCTATAGAACACGCATGATAACATATCTAGGATCTTAACAAAACCAAAGAGTGGTTAATTTTAGAACATTAATCGGCCTAGATTGTTGTTTGGCCTTCATGCAAATGTGATACTCGGTAAGCTCCAAATTAATCTTTTATATTAGTATGTAAATAATTCTGGAACTGCACATAAAGCAACTGTAGTGTTGTTATGGTCAGTTTTATGATCAAATCCTTTGTACATATATCGAAAATATATCTACTTCAGTGAATATTGGGGAAAGAAATAATCTTGCTCTTCCTCTAACAGTGGCCACAGTTGTTTGAAGTGGATTGCAAGGTTGTTGGATATAACACATAATAAAGGAGATATCATTCAGTCAATCGAAAACCATTCCATATATTAAAGCACTTCCATTAATTTACCGTTAGTTTACACGTCCAGAACATACACTGAGTGTTGTTCTTACAATGTATTCCCGCTATCACGCATGGACTCTTCACGCATGCGTACAAACAAAACGCGATATACCGCGATCTCGCGTGGTTGTATATGGAAGCGTTTTTCGCTCAAAGACAAGGCATGAAGTTGAAATCTTGAAAAAAATCCCTGCAAGCACTCACTTCCTAGTTATATACGAAGTCTGCACACTACGTCGTGTTTAGAACTCAAGCAATACTTTCATATTGAGTATAATATATGTTATCACGTGATCGTCTGAGCCAATCATGTCAGTAGCAACTTGCCCAACAGGCTGGAAGTTTCAGACCTCTCGGGGTCCTCGGTTGTGTTCATGTGGACGAACAGACGATAAATGCCGAATTTGTATACAGTCTTGTTTTGAACACTAATGTGAAGCATGTCTAAGTGAATTTGTTTATAAATATGATCCAAATCAACTACATTTTGCATGAAATATTGTAGGTGACCCATCATGTGATGTAGCTGACCAATCAAATTCACGGCTTTTTGAACGAACGTATAAAAGCATTCTGGTCCTTGCTTGGGAGTGCGATGCTGTTGACTGATACCCATGGTGTGCTGGAAAATCTGGCCCAAGCGATGGACCCGAAGAGCCATCCGGCGCTGCAAGGGTACCAGCAGAATGCACTAAACATCAACGCAGGGTACTATGACAACATTTTTACATTTTGGATATTAATTATCGTAGCATCTATGAAGAAAGGCAACGGGATCGGCTTATTGTGCAGTCCGCCATTGTTCGTCGGTCGAACTTCGCATCGGCTCTGTGAAATATCATAAATTACTGGATACCTAACCCAATACCAACCTAAATTACGGTTGTTTAGTTTGTGTAAGTGACTTCTGAAACCGAACTTGTGTTTTGTACGGTTATTATTGTTCGTGTTCCGGCAAATATTTAATGTTTCCCAGACACGGTAAGCTATCAATAAAATATCGTGTGCATTGCATCAGAAATGCGTCTTATTTGTCATTGTTACCGACGTCTAGGTCTTTTTACCTTCTTCTAGACCTACCATTTAGGAAGTTAACCGTCTCTGAACGTTTTGCATGCAATGTTTGTGCATAATTTTATAGACTAAATGTGAGAAACGCTCGCACTTAGTACGAGACCTCATTACATCGTAGCGCTTGTTTTCCTGGATGAAGCTTGTACCGCCATTTTGGTTGGTAATAGTCACATGTTTTGACTAAATGAGTCATTATTGAACACGTCGGCACATTCCTTGTACTTTCGTTGTGTCGTGAGAGTCACATTTTCCGAGAAATCCGTGTGATATAGCTACTTCCTGCTTTGGTGTAATGTCTAGTCGCGCGACAATGTGACCTGTTTTTAAAGAGGTCAAGTGCATGGACTGTACAAAGCAACACCGCATTGCTTTGTTTCATAGATGATCATGTGAGGCGTATTTGAGAAAGTTTTTAAAGTTGTACGATTATTAAGATTTTGTTTGATATTTGTAAGGTGTTTGGGTCATATGGTGCAAACTTTATATCCTGATTGCACTTCTATTAAGTGCAAGGGGTATTTGAGACTGCAGTAATAATATCTTCAGCCATTGACTTTCTTGTGGGGTCTTTCTTTCTGTGGTGGCATACACAATTATTAGTTGTTAACAATAACAATTCATATGTTCCTTTCTCTTGCAGTGAAGCAAAACAAATTTTACAGATCTTGGCACAAGAAAAGTGTTAAATTATCAAGTCATGACAACTCTGTGTAGCAAACTTAGTAGTCCTTCTAAACAAGTGATATTGTGTGCATGGACTGTTCACACTGCTTCTGTGTATGGAGATGAACTGGTATTTTACTTTGTTGCCTGCTGCAACAGTATAAATTTGTAGCCACTTGTCTGAAGCCTGAGTAGTAAGATTGTTTGGTCAAGTAAACTCAGCTAGTAACAAGTCCACATAACACTAAAGTCTATTGAAACTTTGCCATAATCAGGATCGGAGACTGTATTTTTGTGGGTTTTTCAACCCAGTTGGCAATTGATTTGAAATCGAGAAATATTTCCTTTATCCTGCCATGCTAGTCCATGCACATGAAGTTACCTATCATATTTAGAACACTGATGGACATGCCCCCAAAATAGTTTTGCTTCAGATATGAAAGAAAATATGGAAAATTGTGCAGTGTTGAGTGCATTATGATATGTCTGCATCAGTACTCCTGACACTTCTGTTGATCCTTTGCATCTAGGTTACATACATTTCAAACAAACTCCTGTGACGAGGGCACTGAAATACTCAAGCTTGCTGTTTCTTGTTTCAAATCTGTAAAGCCTGAAATAGTACATTGACACACAGCAACATTAAAATGCGGATTTGGTACTTTGTACTGTATCAATAACCTAAAAACCAAATAGCCTGGACTTTTGGGAATTTGTATCTCCCTGAATTGTGAGCAAAGAATCAGAATACACCTGACTAAAGTGCATGGTTTCCTTACTAACTTTGACACAAACTTATCTTAATACGACATTTGTATTTGCCAAAGCAAAAGGAACAATCCTGCTACAATTATGAATGTTAATCTGCCTCTTACTTACTATTCAAGATGTTCTACTAAATAGCAGTCTTAAACATTTCTCTTTTCAAAAGTTAAATAATTTCAAGGTTTGGAGAAGTTAATATTGTTGAAATATGAGTATCGATAGGTCAATTCAAGTGTTCATGATACATTGATTAAAACTAATATTCTGAAATTCACATCTATGCAAATGTTTCAAATCATTGCTGACTGCCCCACAATTCCAGATTGAACACGTTTTTAAAACGCAGTGGTAGAAACTAACATTTTTGGTCCACTATTCCTTATAATGATAATATATAGCCAAACCCTTAAAATGGCAAATTTCTACTAGTCCTTATGATACCTTAACTATTGGGCAGTTTGGCAAGGACTATAGGACTAGTGTCAGTTAACCCTGAAACATCATTTCTGGTGTCTCCCCCCTGCCGTGATATTGCTGGAATATTGTAAAAGCGGCGTAAAACCATACTCACTCACTAACCCTGGAACAGGGATTTATTTTTAAGACACTATTTTATAATAGGCATGTTTGATTTTCTTCCACTTATCACTGTCCAGTGATCACGTTTCCAGGTCCAGCAAGTGCGTCTCCTTGTTACCACGGTGGTAGTGAGTTTGGTTGCCACAGTTTACAGACAACTCATTTCTTCGCTGGGGCGGTCGGGTAGCATAGTGGTTAAAGCGTTCGCTCGTCACGCCGAAGACCTGGGTTCGATTCCCGACATGGGTACAACGTGTGAAGCCCATTTCTGGTGTCCCCCGTCGTGATATTGCTGGAATATTGCTAAAAGCGGCGTAAAACCATACTCACTCACTCACTCACTCACTTCAGTTGCATTAAAATTCAGTGTTGCTCACTCACTCATTTCTTCGCTGCGCTATTACAGCTTTGAAACAAAAAAATGATCCCAAATTTCATTCACCACTACCCCTCCAACAGGAGACAAACTCAACAGCATTGTATAAAAGATCCAACATTATTCACACCAAGTTTTGTGTATTGGAAACGTGTGAAAGGTTAAAATATATTATTTTTACGATGGAATGAAAATGTGATGGTTTTTATAAATGTGATTTATAAAAACATTTTTACATTAACAACTATTTTGATGCTTGGTTCAGGAATACTCAAAATTTTTAACCAAAAAATCTTTTGAAACCCACAATAGATATCAGATTCTTCATATGTGTTAGCAACACGTTTATACATTTGCTAACCAGGACACCAGGGATGTTTTTAGTAATACCATAAAGAAATCTACTTCATGGTACATATTTCACAAATTTTTAGTCAAATTGGTATTTTAAAGTATGTAGAATTATTAACATCACTAGATCAGCCTATTTCATATTTAGCAGTGAATTAGGTTCTGTGGCAGTGAATTATTTTAGTATCGATAGTCCTAAATTTTTTCCAATACAGCATGGACTTTTAAATTATCAATATTGCAATATGCAATGACATCCATAGCTCTAGTCCTGTAGTCCTCGCCAAACTGCCCAGTAGTAAAGGTATCATAAGGGCTAGTTGAAATTTGCCATTTTTAAGTGCTTTGATATACATTGTCATCATAGGGTCTTGTGGGCTAAAATGTTAGATTTTACTGCTGCATAGTCTAAGGGAGCGTTGGGAATCAGTTGGGTGTTTTAATCATTGGTTATGTTTGTTCCTGTTTTATCTGCCTGCTCTTTGTACCATTCCTAAGGAAATATATTTCAGTTAAAACTTTTCAGATCCCACATTGTTACCTCTTGAGTATCTCATTTTCCATGTCTGTAAAATTGATCTTCTGAAGGTGGGAGCTCCAAAATTTGCTTATTTTGGTAATGGTAGCAAATAGCAGGCATGTAAAATTTCAAATAAGTGGAATGATAAAGGCATGTTATTCTTTTTTGTCTTTTGCTATGGTAAGTCATTTTCAGGCATTTTGTTTGAGGGTGACTGCCATTCTCTTGTAAGCATGATTTCTGTAGCTTTTTAACTCAATTGAAACCATTTTACCTTTTCCAGATTTGGCAGCAAAACAAAGGAGGTTGCTCATTCTCAATGCAAATGAAGTCAAAAGCAATCGATGTATATGCATGGTGAGAATTTTAAGTTTGTTTGGCAGTCACCATCACACAAACTTTATTTTTATTTAATCCTAGCAGAGTAAGTTTTCAGTATTTTTCATCATGTGTTGTACTGTAGCAAAAGTGAATAGAAATGTCATGTTTCGTGGAATACTTAAAAATGTGTGGGAAAACTTCGTTTATATCACCTGTTTTGTTTGTTTCAGGTCAAATGGGGATGCAGAGAGCCCCACAAGGACAGACGGTGATGAACCAAATTCAGTAAGTCGTGGCACCATGAAGGGCATCTCAACTCATGAGAACACAGTGGTGAGCATCAGCAGATGTCGCCCTCCTTCGCTTATCTTTGAAATACTGATCAAGTTTAAATAATTCATTTAGAGTAAATTAATGCTAAGACTACGGTCAACGATATAGCAGCTATAAACAGTGGCCTGTAATTAATTAAGTCTTGACCAGACAAACGAGATTGGTGTGGGCAAAGTCCCAAACCATCAGGGTCATATCCAACACCTCCACATCTCCTTTTGTACAAGTCTCAGATTAGTGGCTGCCTGACTGATGGTGACATTGCCATTGAGTCTTACCTTGGGATATAGGTTACTGAAGACAATCCTATGATGAAATTCCCAAATTCGTGTATGATCTTCAAAGAGTTTTTGTTAAAATATTGTTGATTAGGTTGGTTATTGGCTGCTTTCAATCCAGCCTCTTAAATCAATTCTGGATTGAAATCTGATTCTTTGTTTACAGCCCAACAATGTGAACCACAGTGGTGGAGATGGGGATGACGGGGGCGAGGGGCCAGCTGTCCCCACCTCCCAGAAACGTGGGCGTCTAACTAATCAGCTGCAATACATACTCAAAACAGTCATGAAGGCTGTGTGGAAACATCAGTTTGCTTGGCCATTCCATGTACCTGTTGATGCAGACAGACTCAATTTACCGGTGTGTTCAATCTTACATCAAGACAACAGAAGTATCTAAACTGAACTGTTTGATTTGGATTCTGATCCATCAACATACTTGCTCATGAGTTAGTACAAGTAATACCAGTTCCTACAGATTTTCGCATGCGACAGCTTTAATTTACTTTCACCTCCTTAATTGTGTGTTTCATAAGATAGATTTTATGCCCCCAAAAGCTTATCTGACCATATTTTAATTCCTAAAATGTGTATCATTTATGGAGTTTTAACTTTTTGCACACATTTGCGTTTCAGGATTACCACAAGATAATCCGAACACCAATGGATCTGGGAACAATTAAAAAGAGACTTGAAACAAATTATTACTGCTCTGCACAAGAATGTATTCAGGATTTCAGCACAATGTTCACTAACTGCTATGTATACAACAAACCAGGGGATGTAAGTAGATTGAAATTTCTCTTCATATATCTTGTCTTGCTATGGTGAATGGGATCATTCTTGAGTCGACTAGCCCAAGCTTGTATTTCTGCATCCTTACACTAAAGTTACAGAAGATTTACTCCTTGAATATGGGCTGCACAGGCTAACCGTATTAGACAGATGATACAAGGTTTGAGCTATTAGCTGAAGTGGCAGACTATTAATGCACAGAAATTAAAGATGTTAATTTGGTATTTTTCAGGACATCACTCTGATGGCACAGACCTTGGAGAAGTTGTTCCTTCAGAAGGTGGCCCAGATGCCACAAGAGGTATGTGGTTTTTACATCTGGTGACATTTTCTTTTATTTGAAACTGATTGTCCTGCACCATGTCTTGGGGTATATCTGCTTTTAATTTTATCAAAACCTGTCTAGATGAGGAAAGTCAGATTAATTCCACATTACAAATTTAAGAAAGACACAATAAGCCTAATACTTGCTGTGTATGGATAACACGCAGACAGATTTTCATGTTTCTGGCATCAAGATCAAAAGAAATCGTTTGTTATTGAAGTTCAAAGATAGTTTGATGGAATGCAAGAACATTTTCTTTCAGGAGGTTGAAATGTCAATCCCTCAGAAGAAAACTCCAGGTCCTAAGGGTTTCCGTGGTCGTGGAGGCGGAGGTGTTGGAAGAGGACTAGTGACTCCTCGTGGTGTTGGGACACTTGGACCGAAAAGTGCTCCTGTAGTTGCTGCAGCAGCAGCGCAGGCCGTGGCTGCTTCTCAGCCTCCCACTCAAACGACTGTTGTGCCCCCACCAGTCATACCACCTAACAATACAACACCTACACCAGTGACACCACCACCTCCTCCAGTTGTGGCGCCACCTGCGCCACAACCACCACCACCGCCACCTCCTCCAGTGCTTACTCATACGTCTCCACCCCCACTAGTAGTACCCCCTCCAAATACACAGCTGCCACCTATGCCAGTGAAGCCCTCACCACCACCACCTCTACCGCCACAGCCGCAGCCACAACTTCCCACTCCTATTCCTGACATGACAGAAAACTCAGTTATGCCTCCATCTGTGCTACCTCCAGCTCAGATTACAAAAGTAAGTTATCTGAGAAATATTTATAGTTCATTGATATGGAAGGAAAGAAACAATATTTTCCCTCAAATGTTAAATGTGAATTCGGGATTGGTTAATTTGTTCAAACAATCCTCAAGGACATGGTTTGCAATCCTTGAGTGATGCTAATCGTTAAAGATATGTTAATTTAAAGTACAGATCAATTAAGGTTGTAAAGTTTGTTATGAAACTAAGCATTTTGTCATGTTACAGACTAAAAAAGGTGTGAAGCGGAAAGCCGACACCACTACCCCAGCTGCCATTGTAACAAATTCTGGTGGCATTGACCCTGCATCAATATATTCACCTAAAATCCCAGGCAGACTGCCTCCAACAAGACGAGAAAGTAATCGCCAGATCAAGAAGCCCAAGAGGGACTTGCCAGATGACCAGGTCGTTGTATTAGATGAAGTGCGTCATATGAGGCCTTTCCTGGCTTTTTGCTTTAAGATTTTTTACTTGTATTCAAGCCAGACATTGTTTACAAAATGTATGTATTATCTGCTGTTAATCACATATGTCAAAATTTTAACGCTATGGGGATTTTCATTGTAATCACACCAGCTATTTCAAATTTGTGCTCAAGTGAACAATAGGACTGGCTTGAATACAGTTAACTTGTAGTTAGCTGCTTGAATTTCCTTTTTAAGGCTTCTTTTGAGACCAACTTGTTTCCAATTTAGCAGTGAAAGCAGTAGCATTCTCTTTGGGAGGTTCTCTTCCTTGCTTGCTTAATCAGTTGGTTCATCCTTATGTAATTTGCTCACCCAACACCATCCATTACACCTGTAAAATCTTAAAAGGGATTTAACTTTCAACTTTTCTTTTTAATGTAGTTTCATAACGTGGAAGTTAAAATACATTTGTTGAAAAGGCAGGCATGGTAAATAAATATTTGTTAATTTCACTGATCTACTGCACATTTTATCACTGCATATTTTCCTGTAACTTCACAAAGATTGATATGTTCTGCAAAATGTTCTTGGACATACTAAAGTGAATTTATTAAGAAACCATGCTTGGTTTTCAGTTTAGTCATTTGTATTTCCAATAAAATATAGTGAATGGTCAGAAAAAGGTTGCAAGTGTTTTCCTTTAGTGTGTCCAATGTTGTTTAAATACTAAATGTGTGAATACACTGTCTATTTAATCTGTCAAGTTTCTTTCGTAGGCTCAGCATAGTTCTAAAAACAAGAAAGGGAAGATCTCAGAACAGATGAAGTATTGCATTAATCTCATCAAGGAATTGTTTGCCAAGAAGCATGCTGTAAGTATTCTGTATAGATGTCAAATTTCATGGGGTGAAATTCATTGAAACAAAGCAAAAATAAAACAGTCCAATTCATATTTATTATGGTGATCTATTTCTGACTCGTCATTTGTGATGTGTAGTTAAACTCCAGTCATGGTTCACAATGAAGAATCTGTTTATCCAACATTGAGGATACTTTGGGCTTGTAGAATTTGAGGCTTTTTAGAGGGTGTGCCTATGTTATCACTATTTTATGTTTGGGCTAGTAAACATTTCAGATAAATTTCTTCCACTGTACATTCTTAAGAACAGGGAAAAGTGTTGTGGCCAAAAGGATGCACAAAGTGAAGTTTATTTTTTTTCTATATGGTCATGAATTGTGGAGAATGTATCGAACAGGAATGTGTCATGAATGTTAACTTTCTTTTGCAGACTTATGCTTGGCCATTCTACAAGCCAGTAGACGCTGATTCACTTGAACTTCATGATTACCATGATATCATTAAGAAGCCAATGGACCTTGGCAGTGTGAAGGTTTGTTTTTTCTTGTTCACTCATCCAGTCCGAAACTTTAGCCAATAGTCCTAGGTATGAAAGCTTTAATAACCCATATGTTAGGACCACATTTCATTGAAAAAGTACCTGTGGTTGGAATTGGTCCCCAGCAACTTCTCTGGTCTTGAAAGGCGACCAAGTGTATTGGGTAGCTCCGAACCTCAATTATTTACAAGCTGCTGGAATATTGCCAAGTGTATAGTTAAACAAAGACTAGTTTGTGGATGACAATGTATATGGTCTGCTCATTTAACATGTTTAACATCTCATGAGAGCAATAAATATATTATCACAGCCACAGCGTTATGTTTACATGATGGTGGTAGAAAAAAAAGAAGTGCTATCTGTATTGTATGTAAATTGTTTCTTGCAGAGGAAACTGGAGAATCGTGAGTACCGTACGCCAACAGAGATGGCAGAAGATGTGCGGTTGATCTTCACCAACTGTTACAGGTACAACTCTGGAGACAGTGATGTGGTGCAGATGGCAAGAAAACTTCAGGTATATATGCCCCCCACAGACCAATGCCATTTGAATTTGATCCTTGTATTTATTGTGAGAACAGCTGGCAACTAAGTTTGTTGCCTTTCGACTGTTTATGGACTGGACTCGTTTTGTGAATGCTTATGTCTTCAAAGTTCCGTTCCCAAACGTGTTATTGCTTTTCTTTGTAAAGAGTGACTTCGAATTTTAATGAATATTTCCCAATGTTACTTTAGTAGTTGAGATCTATGAAAACAATCAGGACCACATTTTCATTTCTGTTATGACGTAAATTTTGTTCACATATCATTTGTTTTGAATATTAACTTAAAAATGCTTTCTCTGCAGGATGCATTTGAGATGAAGTATGCCAAAATGCCTGATGAACCACTCCCGCCTGAACCAACGCCCCCACCCTCTGTGCCAATGGTGGTTCCCAAAACTGAGTCTCGCACCAGTGATCTCTCTTCCAGCAGTGATAGTGATGATAGTGATGTTGATGATGACAGTGAGGAGGAGAGGGAGCGAAGGCTGAAGGAATTGCAGGAACAGGTATGTTCCAATAAGAATTGCAGTACATGTGAGCTGTGGATTTCCATTAATTATTGTTAACTGAATGTTGTTGCTTCCTCGATTTAAAACTGTACAATTGTGGTTTTATTACAGTTTCAAACAATACAAGAGCAGTTGTCCAAGTTAACAAAAGAACACATGAACAAGTTAAAGGAGAAGAGAGAAAAGAAGAAGAAAAAGAAACGAAGCAAGGAAAAAGAAGTTGAAAAGGACAAACTTGTGGAACCCCCTGTTCTCCCACCTCCCCCTCCTGTACCGAGTGCACCCAGGATGTCGCTGGATCCTCCCAAACCAAAGAAAAAATCCAAACAGAAGTCTCCAAGTTCTAAACGATCAAGGACTAACAGTCGGTCCTCGACTAGGAGGAAAATGCCGGCAGTGGTGGTGCCATCCGCAGGACCGATCCTGCCTTCGTATGATAGTGACGATGAAGACAATGCTAAGCCAATGACTTATGATGAAAAGAGACAGCTGAGTTTAGACATAAACAAGCTGCCAGGTAAGATACTACCCGTGATCAGCAGCTCGAGTGTTAGGTGTGCTGAGTGAGTGTGGCTGCAATTCATGTGGAAAAAGTGCTTCAGGAATTTCATGGAGGATTCATGTGTATTCACAATTGGATTAACAAAACAGGAAGGATAGGGAGGCAGGGATTTTATTTATTTTTTAAATATGTGAGAACTCAAGCTGTTTTCTTCAAATCTGTGTAGTTCCATATGATCTTATGATCAATATCTGGAAGATTTGGTGATGGTTGCTCACATATTTTTTTGGCTATTACTCTGCTGGAATCCATTTTGAAAGTCAATCAGTTTCAACCCTTTTACATTTAGGAGATAAGCAGAGTCTGGTAGAGTCATCTTACTATGACTTTTGGCTAAACTGTTTTATAGTTATATCAGTAATTATTGTTTTCTAGATAAATTCAGGGACAAAGCAATATTTTACATTAGGAATGGTGATGCTTTGATGAAGACAAGCACTCTTACAAAGACAGTTTTCCCTATATAATGATATCCTTCATGCAAGGGTTATAACATCCTATTAGGAGTCCTGTAAAGTCATTTGTTAGTTTTCCCAGTAGACACTGTTGTGGTGTAAGGAAATTCAGCATTTCTATGTTGCTGAGTTGCTTAACTTATGATTGCAGGTGATAAGCTTGGTCGTGTGGTGCATATTATACAGTCAAGAGAGCCGTCCTTGCGAGATTCCAATCCTGATGAAATAGAAATAGACTTTGAAACATTAAAACCTTCAACTCTAAGGGAACTGGAAGCATATGTAATGTCATGTTTAAAGAAAAAGCCTCGGAAGCCATATTGTAAGTATTATTTTATTCCTATACCCTCCTTCTTGTTTTCAAATTTAACAGTGTTGCCACATCAACTCGAGTTTTCTGTTTGAAATGGACACAGTAGTCCATAGACAGGTAATATCAGGAAAGTTTTGTGCAGCCTAAATCATAACAAGATGTTGGGCATTATATTATTAACCCAGTATACCTCCAGGGCAAGGGACATAGTCCTAGACAGTGATTGATCTCATAATCATTGGAGGTAAAATCAATCCCACGTTAATCCCAGCCAATTCAATGTTGATAAGGCTGTTTCATGCCGTGGGGACATACACATACAAACGAAATAGAGGCAGTTCAAATTAATGGTTACACACCTTTGCAAGACCATTGTAAAGTTTTGATTAGCAAACAATTGTAGTGATGCCAATTTAACGGTGAGATGAAAATCCTGATATTAGACATAATGCTGTAGGTAGAGTGTTTTGCTTCTACAGCCAAGAAGACCTCTGGTAAGACAAAAGAGGATCTGCAGCGGGAAAAGCAGATGGAGTTGGAAATCCGATTGCAGGGTGTACAACAGCAGCTGGCCGGTGGCAAGAAACCAACCAGTAAGCAAAACAATTACGCTGAAATATGCGAAGAAACATTTCACTCATACCTGGCAGTTGGTGATAATCTGAACATCAGAGGTTATTGATCACTGTTTTTTTTGTCATTTTTGTCAAAGTATGTGATGCAGCTTTGCTTAATAAGTAATATGATGACATCATGCGTGTCATTTGAATGCTTTGTTTTGTTGTCTTCCAAAGTTTAGCCAGAGTTTTTCTGGTTAGAGGGAGGTGGACTTCTTAAGCAAAGCAGAAATGAGTTTCAATTTGAGGTCTGATTACTTATTAATATGAAGTCTGCCAAACATCCTTCCTAGACACTTGACGATTGGGTCTTAGATGCACACCATTTGCTTTCTCCCTTAAAAGAATATTTTAAGTGATCTAAATGCTTAATGTTCTGAAGAACTGTTTTCATGATAAAAAACTATCCAGGTCCTTGACATGTTGCCAAGTTGGGCATTTTCAGCTCAGTTGTCCAAGGGTGTAGGTTTACAGCTTAATCAACTGGATATCGGATAGTATATGTATGAAAATGTATTTCAGCTGAACGAGGCAGTGTTGAGGCGGGAGGTGGTCAAAGTCGTCTAAGTGCAAGCAGCAGCAGTTCTTCTGGCAGCGACACAAGCAGTGATAGCAGTTCATCTAGCTCGTCAGAGTCGAGCGACTCGGAATCAGGTTAGCTTGAGTTCCCTGGTGAGCTGATCTATCGACTTCTACTGTAAACTGCAGTTGCTGTTACAGACATGGTGTTCACAGCACCAGGCACTGGCTAGCGTCACAAGTGGGTCCAGTCAACATGAGCTAGCTGGGTAGCACGCCAAGGGAGGGGTTTGTATGTGTATAACCCTGTGGTCAGTCTACCGTCAGCTAGCCTCAGTCTAAAGAGTGCTACGAGGCAAATAGCACCCTGCCTGTGAATGGGACTAATGATTGTTGTGTTCAAAGGTGGTGCCCTTTTTCCCTGAAAGGCACTGTTGTTGAAATCCAAAATGGATGCGACAAGATGTAATTGTTTGTAGGGATGTAAGAGTATCTGGTCTTGTCAGGTATGAGGTTACAGGTTAGATTGTTAGCCAACGAGTGCAGAATGTGTGAAGGTTGAGGCCAGTCACAGAATGGGCTGGTGATCTTGATGCTAGGTAGGAAGGGATGGGTACAATTCATACCAGGGTGGGTAATAGGGTAGTCCGTCTCACTACATTATTAATATGTCTTCACGGACCTCATGGTTGCATAATATTTCTTACTTCACAAAGGTGCTTTGCTAATCTCCACATCATTTACACCAAAGGATCGAGTACAAGGACATTTTGCAGGTGAAATGTACCTAAGAGAAACGAAACATTTGACTCATTTGACTCCGTGACTAATGCTGGAGGAGAATGATCATGTCAACTGGCCTCCCCTGCTACACATCTTTGCACTCCATGGCAAATTGTACATGATCTGAGCGAGATGCATTCCCAGCCATCTGGCCGGACACATGTAGCTCAGCAAAGAAAATGTACTTCACAAAATTGAAGGTATAATCAAAACAGCTGGAGTTAATCTCCTTATTGTGTTGGTGCAAGTACCACCAATTACTTTATCAGCCACTGTGCAAATTTTCTGGATCTAATATATACAAAAGCATGCTGTAATGTTAAGAAATTTGAACTGTGTTTTGTGTCGTGGTCATTTCATTACATTTCTGTACTACCGGTCTACAAAAGACTTTAGATCATTTTGTATGTGAAGCATTATACATAAGTATTGTACATTTCTCTACTCCAAGTCAGAAATCTGATAAAGCATTGTGTACATACGTCAGATCTCATAGTGTCATGTCATCATCATTTTATCATCAATAAAACGAAACAACTATCAAATCTGCATTGTATTTTTATTTCGCAGCTCCTCGGCTGGCCTCATGCTAGATTCGCATTCTGCACTCAGTTGGGACGGGGAGTAGCTCCTAATTTAGTTTCAAATCCAGTCAGTTTTCTTTTCCTCCTGATCAGTTCAAAGTCCATATTTTACAATGTTGGCATATACTCTTATTTCAGACACAACAAAGTTTCTTTTCAGCTGGTACTACGTACAATAGATGTACTGGCAAAATTGTTAACCATGCCACCGCACTCTGAGCACACAACCGTGTAACAATTAAGGATACCATGGTTGTCTTCAGATGTCAATATTTCAAATTTGGGTCAGCACACTGGTCACTTTCTATTTAGGATCTGACAATTATCATGTGAAAATAAGGGGTGAAATGGGAAGTGTGTTGATCCACCCAATGAAAATGTTGTTTAACATACAGTATTGAATTTCTCTTTAGATTGAAATGGTTCTTGTACCAATGATTTCTGATATTGTCTTTCAACCTAAAGGATACTATTTTTAATTCAACACTCCCACAGCCCAACAAAGAAACAGTGGCTCAGAGATGGGGAATTCAGGTACATGTTGCAGTATGGAATGTTCTCAGGAATATAGATATTATTCAGCTGTTATTCATACACTGACACTATGGCTTTCCGTAATCAATACAAATTAGGACACCTGATCATGAAGTTATGCATTGACAACCATTCACAAGGATCAATGTTAAAAACTATATTGCAGATGCATTAGGTTATTAATAGATTCATTCACATGTTAATTGCATTTTGTCTCTATTTGATGGGAAAGATTATGCTAAATCAAATGATTATATGAATTGGATATACTTACTTTGACCTGAATTCACCCTCATAGCTAAAAGATCTGGAGAATGTTACATTTTGATTTTGTAATTGGTCTATATTCAGTTTAAGGGAATCAAAATATGTTAAGACAAATTCCATCGTTGCTACTGAAGTTGTAAAACCTGATCCTGTTATAATATGCAGACACATCCACAATTACCAGAGTTGATGACTTATTACGGATGAATTAACTTGATCATTTTGATTCCTATTTAAGAGGACTTTCAGTTTTTGGCAAAATTAATTTTGAAGATGCATTAAGAGTGGTATGTTCTGAAATTGGAGTCAAATTTGGGCAGAACAAAACTGACACGGTCAGCAATTGCCAGCAATACAACTGCTTGATTTCATGCTGTTTTGTACTGTAAAAAGGTGACCATTTTGTCTGAATCCTCCTATTCTAATTCTAACTTCTTCATAAGGATATTAGTTCCTTGCTCAAAAGGGAGTTGAGTTCCATTTTAGCAAATTATCATATCTCTTTTTAGATGCATTTCCGGTTAAAGGTAGAATTTGGTTACCCTAACATCTACATGTCGAATTGGTAAACTATCAACCTTGCAACTTGTGCAAAGATGTCCTTATAAGAGTCCATTCACATGCTCAAGTAATTTAAGTTTTAAAAAATTGAATATTTGATCCAGTTTTATGGGGGTTGTAAATAATATCTGGCATAAAATCAAGTATATTTAGCAATACAGTGAAGTTTACCACATTATCTCTTGGAATTTGCTTTGGACTGGAGTAATGGTGAAAGCAGCTATTAACACATGTTAGTCCCGAGACTGTTCAATTATTGATGGCACTTCAAGTTTTAGATATTTCACTGTTGGTAATTGTCTGTGTCTGTGTAGTGTCCAATATATGTATTAAGAAGCTGACACGTAACAGGATGTTATGGATTATGACTGGTACATGTTAGTTGGAGTCGTCATGCCAAAGACTTGGGTTTGATTCCACACATGGGTACAAGTCTGTATCCAACTCGCGTGGTCCCTTGCCTTCATGTCTAAACAAGCATACTCACCAAGGTGTGAATACAGCAAATGGTCGTTTGAAAACCATGACTCCCATGCCAGACAGAAAGAGATTTCAACATGTTGGTGAAATGTGGTTACCTTTCAAGTACATCTAAGAACTGAATGAGTTCTTATTGTTTCCACTGGGGAAGTGGATAATATGATCCTTACTCAAGTTGATGTACAGTTTGAATGATGGTCAGTGGACATTTCCCTTTGCCAAAGAAGGCTGAGAAGTTAGGACAGGGATACTACTGTGAATGACATCTGAAGCAATATCACCACTGCCAAAATATATTTTAATCCTTTGCAGGTGGTATAATACCCAGTACACATGCAGAGCTCCAGATAACTTTTTTGAGTAATTGAGTTTTTACTCTCAGGTTTCTATTTTAAATTTATTACATTTTTCATTGGGTTACCAATATATTTTTCACTCATTTATTCATCACTTGCTGCATATTGGGTTTTCCCCAAAATGAGTAAGCATTTTGAGATCTAAAACATTTCATTTTAAAAAAAATGTTTATAATGGTTCTAAATATAGTAAAGTAAATTAGCTCGTAATTGTGTTTCGCAAATTAGCTCCGTTGTACGCATGCTGAAAAAGCTTCATGGGAATTCACGTGTTTTCAAACAAAGTTTTTCATTTAATGCATGCGTTTCTGTACGCAAGTTAATTGAAAGTAATTGGGTTTTGAATAGTAGGGTATTTTACGCAAATATGCAGCTTATCTGTAGCTCTGACTTGAAGTATGTTATTGTTAACTGATGAATCATTCAACTGTACACCAATCACAAGGGAAAGTCAGGTAGCAAATACAACAGAAGGTACATACCCTCCATTCACCAATTTTGACATTATTCAATACAATCCATTAAGAACACACGTTTCAATTAGGCGTTTCGTTCTTCTTGTGGTACCACTGTACTTTGCTGTCATCTGAGTTGAAAACATTCAAAGTGCATCTGTTTAGTCTTTAGAGTGTTTGAAGTTAAGCATGAAAGTCAGTGGATCTGTTACCACCATAAAATTGTTTTGGAGTGGTCAGTATTTGGAAATGTTCCAGCAGCAGCAAACCCAGGACCCACTGAATGTTGGCTTTGTCCACATGTAGCCGAGAACAATAAGACATTCGATGAATGTGCTGGTCTGCATGTTTTGTCAAGCACATGTTCTCTAGGAACAGTTTTCCTTGGCACTGGTCCTCTTAAGAAAGAAGTATGTGAAACTCAGAAAACTGAATTTAAATGTGGCATCCCTTTAGCCATACCCCAAGCCGGAAAATTGAGAAACTGATTCAGGGGATATGAGATTCTAATTAATAAACTCGAATGGATGAAAGACAAATAGGGAAGCCTGGTGGTTAAGACTTTGGCTTGATATACTCAACACCCATGTGAAAGAATGTGTGAAGCCATTCCTGTATATTTCCACTGTCATGTAGTTGAAATGTTGCAGAAACAAATATAAAAAGCAAAGCAAAGTCACAAGCACTCACAGTATTGAGGACACAACAAATAATTGCTGTTGCATATTTGACTAAAAGCTGCCTGAAGAATACATTTGGACAGGAGTGAGTGAATACTAATCTTCAGCAATATTTAAGTTTTATGAAAGTGACCTGTAATGACCACATCAAATACACAATGGGCCAGGTAGCACATAGTAACGTCCCAGACAAGTTGGATTTTTGTACATGCACAATGTTTCAGATGGGCTACCAACTTCCTTCCAAATTTGCAGTGATATCAGACGAGATACATATTTATTTCACACAATTGAACATTGGTCTAAACCAGAACATCCTCATCCAAATGGTCCCCAACTGTTTTGAACTAGTGGTTTAATAAAAAGTAATATAGCTAGATAATATGAGAAGTCATCTTGGCATTCCAAGTTATTTGACTTGGATTTAAACCTGCCATTCTATTCACTGCCTCATTAAGTCACATTATCCCATGAACTTGGTACATCGATAAGTGAACTGATTTTTTTTTTTAATTTTTAAAAAATAAAAACGAGTTTTCATGGCAACAACTTTGATTTAGTAGGGGAAATGGCAGTATTGCTTGTTGCCGGTGCCATTCTTGAAAGCATGCAATATTTCTTCATCAAACTTGGCACACAGATAGGTCTAGAGGCGAACTGGTACCATGCTATGAATATTATTGGTTCGGACTTAACATGGTCTGCTAGCCTGATACAAGTGACGTCAGGGATGACTGGTGACGTTCCTTTGGAAATTGCAACTTTTACCATAGGTAGATCCTTTTAGTGGAGTAGTGGATTAGTCTTTGGCAGTCTTTTTTTTTTATATAATAAGATACTCTTGATATCCCTTAACAGATTTACGAGCATTTCTTGACTTTTGTTCTTCCATCTTTGAGAATTACCTTTATTTGAAAATTGGCCCATTCATTATTACTTGGATGATTACAGGGTTTGACACTGACCAAAATTTTTTAGCAGCCAAAGGACCAGTACATTGAAAATTGTACAGGTCGTGTTGGATCTCTGGCCAAAATTGGTGTAAGATGGTATTGCTTCATTGTGGTAACCAGGCAAGCAGAAAACCACTGTACCACATTGCTGGTTTTGCTTAGATTTTAGAGTCCATCTATTGCTGATTAGAAAAATCGTGCACACTTAAATTACTTTGTACGTCCCCAAAACAACACTAGACCTCTGGACCCAGCATATATTTAATTTTACTGGTACATGATAAAATATATACTAGACTTGGACCTGCAGACCAGTGTGTGTGTCCAACACTGTGATCACTACTAAAAAATTTCTTTTTCTGCCTTTTAGAAGTTTCAACTTGGAAATCTCTTGCTTCAGGCCTTGAAAATAGAAGCACTATGTTCAACATCTGCTCAGATATGTACATAGTCCTATAATGCTTGATTACCATTTCAGAAAAGACTCCACGAAAGTTGAAGTCAATGCCACCACGGGTTGAGTTGCCTCCTGGAAGCCCTGGACGCTCCCCACCAGTGAAGATAATGCTGGGAGGCAACACTCCAGTTGTGGTGTCATCGCCACCGCCACCCTCACCCCTTAGCGCTCCTCTTCACCCATCATTTCCCCCTCCTCAAGCTGCGGCTATGGCTGCAGCACATGCTGCTGCTGTTGCTGCTGCCGCTAGTGCACAGCCCAGTCTTCCTACTCCAGTTATTCAGCACAAGCCACTGTCTCCGGCAAGAGGTGAGGATTCAGTGCCGCAGCCAGCCGGGGTGGGCAGTTTTTATAGAAAACAGTTTTATTTGAATCAAGTTGGGGACAAGTGATACTTGTACAAATATTTGGGATACAACGGCCTTGGGATTGTCTGCAAATCTATCTCCTCAATGAGGCAAAGCATACTCAGTTATTGAAAGACATTGTAGCTGTGAGGAAACTAGTCCTATTTTATTAAATAGGGATTCTGGGTTGGTGTGATTCTGAGTTAAAGTAGGCCCCATAACTATATATTAAATTATAATGGATTGGGAGGTCAGGTTCTATCTGTCAAATGTTCCAAAATGTTGTGGATCTTTCATTATGTCTATCACTGGATTGTCTGGTCCAGACTTAATTATTTTATAGGCTGCCATCTGATTACCATGTGCAGCTTTAAACAACAAACTATAATTAAAGATCACTTTATATGGTATAGTGGTATGACATGTAAGGAGATGTGTGGCTAATAGGAGTGAAATATTTTTTGAAAGTGACTTGAATGGCCATTTAATTGTATCTTTGGTAAACAGTCTGTTAACTCTTTCATCCTATTATGCTATCAAGTGTCCTATTTTGATCCGAAGTAAATGCTTTGTTGAATGCTTACTTGATTTGATCAACACTCTGTCTTTTGTGTCTTTCAGCCCCAAAGCCTGTAACTCACACACACATGCCTCAGCAGCCAAGCAGACCCACGGCAATGGCCACAGCCAAGCCACCGTTGAAGAATACCAGTAAGTCAGGAGAAGGGGGGCGGGGGGGGAGCAGTGCAAGCTTATTGTCTCTCTAACCAGACGATCTGCTTTCAATATTCCAGGCAAGGCATAATGTGGAACTCTTGTCAATACTGCAGACTTGTCAATTGTGAGAGATCCGGGTTGGAATAGGTCTTCAACCCATGCTTGTCGTAAGAGGTGACTAATGGGATATGGTGGTCAGACTTGCTGACTTGGTTGATGCATGGTTGCGTGGCTCGATGTTCCCATGTCAGTCACTAGATTGTCTGGTCCAGGCTACACACCACTGTCATATAGCTGGAATATTGCTGAGTGTGGCTTTAAACAACAATCAAACAAACTAAACAAAACTGCAGACTTCTGTAAATTGATTATTATTATTTTTATTTTCTGTAGACGTATTGTTACAGTTTAATATCCATTTTCAGAAAAAACTAGCTAACAGTACTCAATCATTAGTTCCAGTGACACCAAGTCTCCCGGTCAGTAAACCTCCTTCCATGTCACCGCAAGTGGAGGTGACGTCACCACCAAAGATGCCGCTCGAAGTCAGAAGAACATCTCCCAGAATCCAGTCGCCACCAGATGACTTATCCAAACTATTCCCTTGTGACGATGAGCCTGAAAGCCCCAAACCCAGTCCGAAGCCAGCCCCTCCTGGGGCCACCATATGTAAGCAATATTTCATCACAGCAATCGCTAAATTGCTGCCCCACAGAATGCCTTTGTATATCTTTTAATAGGTTGGAAAAAACCCAACCTGTTTTGATCGGAAACAATAAAACTTTTCTCCATTTCTTTAGCCTCTGTTTGAGAATGACTGAATGGAAGGAAGTGTGCAAAGTTTCCGTGTGAACATTGCCAGATTTTTTTTCTGGGATTTGACTCAAATGTGATATGATTTTAGGCAATCGGCTATTTATGGCCTTGAATGTGAGGAAAGAAGCCTTGAAAAGACATTAAATTTCTTGACTTTCTGAACATGCACCTTGGGAATTCTTTTGGCACATGCAGTGAGAAGGTCAAAGGTGAAATAAGACCATATGAGAGAAATTTTGTGTCAGTTTCTCAAGTTTCCTTTGCATACATCATTAAACGTCTCAAGGATGAGGCCCTGCTATGAAAAGTTTTTGGTTGTAGGATTTAAGTTTCAGTTCAGGTTTTTATGAAACACACTTACATCATTGTCCGTTTCTGAGGCGTGGTTCATTGTGAATAGCTGCAAGATTGTGGCAATGAGCAGTTATCACTCGCCGAGTTGCCTCTACAGCCATGTAATGGTATAAGTGCATGTATTGTTGGTGCTATGCCTATCAAGATGTACTGACTGGCGCTAGTAAGCAAGGGCAATGTTTGTATTCCTGTTAGGAACATACTTCTATAGCAAGCCTATTTTTTCCACCGGCAGCTGCTCACGGTGTAGGCATAGCCTATGGATCAGGATCCACAATGTTGTCCCAGCCTTCACCTTTGGAGCCTCAAAAGGAGCCAAAGATGTCCATGCATATGCCACCGTCCCATGCTGCTGCAGCAGCAGCAGCAGCTGCCGCCGCCGCAGCTGCAACCAAACAGAAACAGAATGTGGTGAGTTATTACCATACGGAACATTTAGAGCTTGAGCTATGTAAGCCTTATGATTTTGTTTTAGGTGGTGCCTATGGCAAAGACATTGGAAATTGTACATTGTAAGAAACTTTAGATATTGATCATGGTAACTTCCTAACTCGTCTATCTGAAAACAAGCAAAGAAAACCTAGAACTAGCTCAGTAGTTGTGTGTGTCATGTTCAGAGCCCAATGTTTCATCTTCAGCATTGATGTTTTAGTTGAAGAATGCTGGCTCCTGGTCAAGCATTGCCACATCCAACTCTTCACACAACATGTCAAGGAAACCTGCTGCAGTCAACAGCTTCGAACACTTCCGTAAACAAGCCAAGGAGAAAGAAGAGAGGGTATGTTTCAAACTTGTTTCAGCTGATGCAGTTGATCATTATCATACATATAGTATGATATGAACAAGAATTAATAATATGGAGGATTTGACTAAATTGTTCTCATAATATTTCCGAAATCTGGGTTCAGTACTTCTCATTAAGGAGCCTCATACCATGTTAAAGAGTGATCAGCAAAAGTGTTAGAAATTGTAACAGTAATGCAATACTATATTACTTGGACAAACTGACTTTATTGAAACAAGTATTTCCTGTACTGTCTTAGCTGAATGTTGATGTACATTCTGTTTTAGGAACGAGCATTGCAGACACAGCTTCTTCATCGTCAGCAGGTGAAGGAGAAGGCCGAGAGAGAACGTCAGCGTCAGGAACGCGAGCGACAGAGAGAGCGAGACGAGGAGGAGGCCCTGGAGCAGGCCAAACAGGCCCAGCAGGCCCAGGCTCACCACGCCGAGATCATACGGCAGCGCGAGGTGGAGCAGATCAACAAGCAGAAGGAACGCGAGAGGATGCGAGAACAGGAGCGCAGGCGCAGAGAGGCGGTAAGTTCGAATGTAGCATGTGTCAGTGGGGATTCGAGGGGACAGTTAGCCATTTGACAAGTATTATGGGAAGGGACTCATTCATTGATGATCAGATGTTATCTCTTTGGTGAGGACACTCGGTGGATTCCAGGCAGAATAGATTCAGTAAAAGTTTCTAAGTTGCGATTGCACACTCACTCCTTGGATCATTGTTAACAACCTCTAGTTTGCCTGTTTTTAAAGGCTGTTGTGATAAAGCTGTTATGTTGCTTACTGGCATTAAACAATATTCACTCGTTAATATTTGTGCATAGGGCACTTTCCAACTGATATTACTCTCTGGAATATTTATTCTTCAATCAGATCAAGTTCAGTTATATTGGACCAAAAGCTCAGCTCAAGATGTTACCTTGATGTTTTGTTGTCATGCTTTTGACATAATGCATCTTACTTTGTCCTTTCAGTTGGCCAACCGTATCGACATGAATGAACAGAGTGAACTAATGGCATCCTTTGAGGAAATGTTATAGTGACTACCACTCTGGGGTGTGTGTTGCCTGTTTGCTTGTGGACCTTCTGACACTGCCAGCAGGCACCGAGTTCATGGCGGAGAGGAGGGCTGGTGGCCCTCCCAGCACGAAGAGGTCAACGACCCTCGCACCATGAGGACAACCTGTAAAATCAGGAGAAGTTGATCCTCATTCTGACGTAGGAACAGAGATCCAGACAACTACATGTTTCTCTTAAGCCTTGTTTCTGCATATCAGACAATTTATACAGAAAAGCGTCAGTTGATTTGACTGCAAGACAATCTGTTAGGAATTGTGACAATACAAGCAAAACTTTCTGCATTTTCAGACAGGTTCAGTGAAAGCAGATTTTTCAAAATGTTCAATGCAAAGTGACATATGTCCTATAAAACAGAATCCCGATTTGTTTTTATTATTGCATGAGATTGTAAGTTGGGGTCCAGTTATGTGATTCTTTTTCATCGATCCAGTTGACATCTTGAAAATCAGATTAAGTTTCCTTGAGCAAGTCGTAGTGATTCCACAACAAGCCATCCTAACAGAATGAATGGTACAGTGTTTTGCTGTCGACTTGAAGATGTAGCTGTGGTGGTCAGACCTATTGCCAGCTTGGATGTAAAGACAGATTAATTTCTCAGGAACTGTACAGAGCATGTTATGCAAGCCGGCTGGCGCCCATCCTCCTCCACAGGGGCTCAGCATCATTTGCAACCTAAGCACTTAAAACAAGTTCAAATGATCACCTGTTGTATATAGGCATTCATTCTCATGCCCTTTCTAGCAATAACTGTTCACTGTGAAGTATTAGTGATTTACCTATGGCCAAGGACTGGTCTATTGTGTTTGTGCATGCCAGGTGTTCTTTATGTGATTGTTGTCATTGTTTCCATGGCAACTGGTCAGCCTGTATGTGACCAGCAATGCGTCAGAATGGTACGGTCAGCTGTCTCAGATTGTACAAGCTGTGTGTAGCCATGGCCAGTGCATGTGCAGTCCCTGTGTAGCTGAAGTAGCTAGCCACAATGTGTTCTAGTCACAATGCCGCATAATCCATATTGTGCAGTAGGACTGTAACAATACAGGGGGCACTATACATATATATTCAGTGCGAAAGGGGGCGATATGATGCGTAATGCATTGCACCACAATTGATTGAGGTTTCCGCAAGTTTTTCTGTCAGATTTAAAGCACAGGTTTGGGATCTTTATCATGAAAATATAGCATTTAAGGTATGCAATGCACTGTATAACGCCTGTATGTGAATGTGTTGTATCTCAATACAATACTGTATCGCTGTATCGTTACAACCCTTTTGCAAAGTTGCAGAAATAACACTGGAATTTATATAATCTGGAATCCAGAGGCCCCGCTAATATTATGTACGATGTATAGTTAAAATTGTAGCAGATAGACTGATTTAGTACGAGCATGTTACAAAATATGAGCTGCATTATTTCGAAGGGACATTTAATAATGGCTGTTATTATTATTGATTTTGCTTCATATCTGCAAAGTCAAAGGAAAATTGATTTAACCAAGTTCACTGATTAAACACCATTGAATACATATTTGGTTGGATAAAGGTCTAATTGAGCGTTACTGCATGCTAACTGGCATTTGATTGTCTATCCAGGTTGCGAAGTAATGTTATTTCTGTTTAGAAATATTTGCTTTTTGGACAAATATTCATCTCTGAACTATGCTATACAAATGGTCAGATGGAGAGTAACATCTCTTTGAGGTTCTAGAAATCGGAAATTGTTTTATATCTTGGGTTGGGGGGAGGGGGACCCAACATGCTGGTTGCGACATGACGTCATACTTCAGCCAGCTAGTGTCATTTCCTTCTGACATCTCATATAACATTCAGGTTGGTGCTATCGTCATCATTTTTCTGGCAGTATTAAATCTCTTTTCTTTATTCCTCATATTCCTAACATCTTTAGAGTACATACTGCCTCATTCTGAGGGTGGTTTGCGCTGCCGACAATGCACATGTCCAGTTGTTCCATTCCTTATCCTCAGCTGTTTGATAAGTATGAATATGAAAATGTGACAGTTTTTCCTGTGTATCTGTCATTTTCCCTAGCTTAAGGTATGCCTGTGTTCTTTTAAAATATTCATATCTAGCGATGTGAATAACTGCCCATAGTGAGGAGTATTTCTGTACATTTTTGAGGAGCTTAATATATTATATGATCTGGAGTGATCTGATGGATGAATGGGTAGAAGTTTGAGGGCAAGGCATTCCGATTGTACACCTTAGCTCGGAAGTAGGTCTATACATTTCATGTTATCATCAAAAGCCATTAGCTGGTATCATTTTGTACTTAATCTTGTCAATCCAGCTTGGTTTGATCATCATTTCCACATCATATAAATAGGGTGCTTGCATGTTTCATTTTCATCAAAAGGATCATCATCTAATACTTTCTTCTTGAGTATGCCATCAAACATGTTTCAGTGACTCAGATTTTGTAACATTTCCGTAGATTTGTACTTTTGTTATTTGTGTAGTATGAGAGTATTTGTATCTATATTGTAGGCCTTTACTTTGTGTTCTGTAGATTAGCGTCCGGATGATGCTGCTCATTGGAGTTATGTCCCCTTGCACAAAACATTATTTTTTTACTTTTCTATATGTCTGCATCTGCTGATTCAGTTATAATAGCAACATGGACTTCATTCCAAGGCTTGAACTGCCATTTGTCATTCAATTGTGAGGAAAGCAAGGATATATTAAATACTGGAAGTGTTTAGCTGTACAGTCTTGCCATCTAGTTATCTGTGAATGTAAATCTTTATATTTACAAATTTGCATTTCCCATGTTTGTAAATCGTTATATTTACAAATTGGCGTTTCCCCATGTTCCATTTCCACTTGATACAGGGGACATAACTCTGTATGTGCTAGCATCAATATGGCTGTATGTTGCTTGTGACACTACCATGTGCCAGCCAGACTGAGGAGAGATCACAAAGAAAGTTGCTGTGTGAGAGAAAGAGAGAGAGAAGCTATTGTCCATCAGGTGTATTTAATGATTATTTAACTATTGCTGTTGAGTGTTTCTTCATAGTATGGACGGACAGAGAAACGGGCCTGCATGGAGGGGACCCACCTGTACTGCACAGTTATATTTTTGTTACCTATTGTGTACAGCTCAATAAAACATCATTGTCAGTATTACTTGCTCTTTTTTGGCTTTTTCTTGTCAAAGAAGAATATGATTCCTCAGAATACCCTTCTTCTATTACATCAAAGCCATAAATTCCAGTTTGGCTGTCAATCACACTATATTCTTTATAAAAAATTTAACATTCATCCTTTACTGCCAACATATCTAATACTTGGGAGGATAACCTATCAGTAGTGGGACAATACACGGATGCATCGGTGGACACGATTTTTCACTTCTCGATTCAAGTATCGATCACAATTACACTCTCTGTAAAAGGTATCGATTCTAACCTTACATGTATTCTTTAATGAATGTTACACCAAACACTAATTACTAGTGAAAATGGAAATATTTTCATCCATTGCCAGGGTATGAAACTCCCAAAAATTTCAGCCAGACCACAGGACTGGCTAGCTGAAATACTTGCCAGCCCTGACCAAAACCTGCCTGCCCACTATAATCATATGTTTCTCAGGATAAGCTAACGGGGTTTCTTTTTGGTTACATTTTATCATTCATCTTTACATGTGAATTAATGATTATCATCGGGAAATATTGAAATATGAAATATAACCTGACCGTCGGGCAGGGGGATTTGAAAATCTGGCAGCCCGAGTTGAAATCAACCCGTCTCGGACGGTCGAGCAGGCAGGTATTTCGAACACTGCCATTGCGCCATACTTAATAGTTAATTGTTAGTGAGCCAGGTATTTGGCCATCCTGTCAAAGATGACCTACACATCACCGATAAGACCACGTGCAAGTATCGTGTTACATATCGGATCGCACAGTTGATGTATCGTCCCAGCCCTATAACCTATCCTTCGCAGGAAATGTAACAGCACATCACATTCCTGGGTGCCAAGATGAAAAAATCACGTTTGGTTTGGTTTGGCACTGTAACTACTTGAAATCATCTTATGCACAAGTGTAGACAAGCTGAGAGCAAATTGACTATTTAAGGGAGTGTTAAGAGGCAAGATCAGTGTGTAATGAATGAGTTTAGTGAATGAATTGTGGGAGATGGTCTCTCCATCGCAGATTGGTGCATGTGCAGCATCGATCAGGCATCAGAGATCCAAACCCCAGATGTCAAGCATACAAGATTTCATGCTCTCCAAGAACTAGATATAACCATTGCAAGAATCTATCAAAACGCACGTTTAATATACTGTACAAGGCTTTGAGTAACGACACGGACACATCCAGAAAAAGAAGATCGGCAAAAAAGTCGAAAATACCTTCTACGACTAAATACTGGGTGAAGGATAAAGTGACCCTCTGGTTCTAAAATATCTGCTCTGACACTTAGCTGACAATTCCGTATCACAAGGGGACGGGATCTCCCCAAATCTTGCCAACTTGCCCGTATTATTTAAAGAGCAAACATCTTTCTGGTCAGGGAAAATTGTGACAGAAACAGAGCCCCACCTACGTAAGCCCACACGTTCCCTTTAACATAAATGCGTCCTCATCCATGTAACATCTAAGAGATCAACATTTGGGATCTGTAACGAGATTATACATTTCAAAAACTCTGTTTCTCAGTTAAGAGGCTGGATCTAAATGATTATCTGTAAATGGAGCAGATCGCAGAATACCTAGATCAACACAATGACAACCCTGGGCCCAGTCGGGGGTCGTCTGATGCAATTCACCCAAAATTAGAAGTTGATCATGGACGACACTTGGCTGCTTGAAGTTACATACACCCAGTAGGGCGCTATTTTCATCTGACAGGACAAACTAGCCGCATGGTCATTCACAAGCTTCAAGACAAGGAGACATCAGCGCTTTAGAAGGGCCAGACACCATTCAAGGGTTCTCTTCACCAGTTTCACATCGATTTGAACCTACTCCACAAAGATTATCTAGTTTGTGACCAGGAAATTAAGGAACGCCCTCGGACGAGGAGATTGGATGATAAGTTTAGATTTACAGGACATCTATCTTCACATCTCCGTCTGCAAGTCTCTAGCTACTTTTTGTATCCTTGTGCCTCCACGAGGAGAAACATGCAAGAGAAACAGATATGACCTTAAACCCATTCAACCAGCCCATCAGGTCATGCCTAGGTGTGCTAGACCATCCCTCAAGGAACTTACCCACAGAGGCAGGTTGCAGTTACAAAACTTGCAGAGAGCTAGATTTAGACGAACAAACTCAACCTCTACCAGCTCCACAGTAAAGAGTGAGTGAGTGAGTGAGTTGGGTTTAACGCCGCTTTTAACAGTATTCAAGCTATATCGCGGCGTGTCAGCTTAATGTGGGAAGAAAGCCCGAAGTGGTGGTGGTGGTGGAATGGGGTTTAACGTCGCGTCCAAGATTATTGCACTTATATAGCGACATGCATGTACGTGTAAAGCCCGAAGTGATGCAGGTCTCAGACGTTTACCACTTCGGTGAAACCCACGAGCACGGGTATGGTGCTGACAAACCTAGAAACATAATCGGGGCGAACCGGGATTCGAACCCACAATCATAGGTTTCTGGCGTGTCCAAGGGACGCAACTCTGCACAGCTAATCGTGGCGCCTTAGACGACTGGGCAGATTGCCTGTTCAAGGAAACAGATCGTGCCTACTAAGTTGTCCTTCCATCCAGAGATATTCAAGCAGATAACTGCAACCTGGGATACTCCACATGTGGATCTATTCGGCCCCTGCCTCAACAACAAGCTTCCTGTGCACATAGGCAGCATGGCCCAACAGGACATGGTTCCCGAGATAACTGCCTCTCCCAATGGAAGAACCTCTCCAACCACCTGAGCGTTGCAGTGAGTGAGTGAGTTGGGTTTAACGCCGCTTTTAACAGTATTACAGTTATATCGCGGCGTGTCAGCTTAATGTGGGAGGAAAGCCCGAAGTGATGCAGGTTGCAGACGTTTACCACTTCGGTGAAACCCTCGAGCACGGGTATGGTGCTGACAAACCTAGAAACATAATCGGGGCGAACTGGGATTCGAACCCACAATCATAGGTTTCTGGCGTGCCCAAGGGACGCAACTCTGCACAGCGAATCGCGGCGCCTTAGACGACTGGGCCACCCGTGCCCCCCCTGAGCGTTGCAATTTTCTGCGCCAGCCAAGATCCGACATGTTTTACGGCAGCCTCAACAACCTCAATTTTCACGTCTGGAAATTATTTCAACAAAGATGCAAGCCGCTGGGTACTCTAAATCAGTGGCAAGTTCATAAGGACCAGTACCTGCTGCCATCTACACGATAAAAGTTCATGTAGAGGCGAAGGGTAAGAGGCTTACTGTATGTGGATATAACGATACCTATAGTTGCTGGTTGTTTGCTACATCTCAGAAACGACAAGAATTTCAGACATGGCACCACTGAAGGCAACAGATCACTCTTGCCTCTGTACTGCAACAGTATTGCCTCTTTACAAGTACTCACCAAGGACTAAATCGGATCATGAAATCCTTTGCCCTGAAATCAAAAGAACCCACACATTCCCAAATTGGAATTTATCACTGTTGGCAGCATTAATGGAGCCTCCATATGAACCATGACCAATGCTACACTACTAATAGCTTCAAGGAAAACAGCAGCCAGTGTATCAGAGCTACACGCCATTGATATTTCCTCAAAAACGCCGACGTAAGCGCAATATCGTTCTGATCCCTATCGGATCGGGCACAGGCAATACCTGCCTTAGGTAGAAGTGTGGATTCAACGGACAGGACTTGTCATCATCCGTGGCAACCTCCACGGCCAGATATTAAAAGGATGACATTCTTCAACCCGTGGTGTTACCATTCCTTCGCAAACAGCAACGGGAACACTCCTACAGCATGAAATCTTCAGGCCGCTCACTGCAAGGATCGTCCAGACTGTGCACAACGTCTCCCTTCTTCCATGGTCAGCTCACTCACCGGACTCCATTGAACACCTGTAGGATCACGTGGATCGTCAAATCAATAGGCCTCCACCCACCACAGAACCGTCAACAGTTGGAAGCCGCACCGAAGGACGAGTGGCAACGGATTCCCAATGACGCCATCAGATAATACGGCGAATCTGGGCGTTCATAAGTGCTCGTGGTGGTCATATTCGCTATTGCGAGTGTCTGGTATATGTGAACCAACCCAAACTGATCATAACAACGCCTGCTTCACTCTGCTTATTACTGTGTAGACCCATAAAGATCCGGGGTAGAATAGGTCTTCAGCAGCCCATGCTTGCCGTAAAAGGCGACTATGCTTGTCGTAAGAGGCGACTATAACGGGATCGGGTAGTCAGGCTCGCTGTCTTGGTTGATGCATGTCATCGTATCCTTAATTGCGTGGATTTGACGCGCATGTCAATCACTTGTCTGGTTCAGACTCAATTGTTCACAGACCCCTGTCATTTAGCTGGAATATTGCTGAGTGCGGCGTTAAGCAACAAACATACAAACAAACATTACTGTGTACTGTGAAATTGCAATCCCCATGTTCATTAAGGCGTCATGGGTACGTCACCTGTTATGAGATACTGGTTGATATGATGCATGGAATGTCGCCTACGATACCCGTATTAAATAGACAGACAGACAGACAGATAGACATATATTTTGTATATGTGGCCATGAGGCCAATAGTACAATGGCAGATTGTTGTAAGACAATTTGCGATGGAGCACCATTTGTATTTTGAATCGGAATAGATGTACACATTTGAGTTTTATTATCCCCCGCCGCGAAGTGGGAGGGGGGTATAGGAATGGATTCTGTCCGTCCGTCCGTCCTTCCGTTCGTTCATCTATCCGTCACGTTTTGTTTCGTGAGCATAACTCGGAAACCATTTAGGAAACCGACATTTTGCACATTTTGAATGCTGAACTGGTGCCTTTTGGTGTTTTGATCTTTTTAAGAAAATGTTTTTGGAGTTTCCATGGCAACAAACTGGACTTAAACTCAAACACGTTTCCAGAGCAAAACTCGGAAACCGTTTATTATTTAATATGGAGCTTTGCATAACGCTAAACTGATGTCTTTGGATGTTTTAGTATTTAAAAA